GTTTGTTTATTATGTATGTGCTGGTCTGTAAAATGAGATATATTCCTGTTTTGGTATGTATACTAGGTCCCCAAATGAACAGAAAGGCTTTTCTAGAGCCCTTGCACACTGTTGAGTAAATGCAGGTTTGTTGAGATTAGCTGACCCAAATAGATCCAAAGAGTGATGATCAAGTAGCCATGCTGCGTGGCTACTCTGACAGACTTGTCCCTAGAAACAGGAAGGAGGTCCTCAGTAAGCGTGTGCGGAGCACTGGAATTCCTGTGTTCAGCTGTTCTCTCTAACGTTGCCTTCACCCTTCCCAAAATGATGCGAAACCAGCATAGTTCAGAAGACAGGCTAGTGGCCTTAACGTTTTCAGTTTGAAGAAAAGGCTGTTCTAACAACTCTGAAATGCCTTTGAGTCCACAGAGTTTTCTTCCCCTTGCCTCCAGATTTCAAACCAAAATTTAGGGAAGTCTTCTTTTTCTAGAGACTAGAACTTGTACAGCCACATAATCAAATCCTGATAAAAACTAGGTTTATTGCAGTAACACTGATAAAATTTAAACACTAAAGCAAACAGTTGGCATATAGCACTAATGGGGGTCATAAAGGTAGTGGGCCATTAGTGAAGAGGTAGTTGGCTGTGTTCAGCTACATAAGCACATTGTAGGGGTGTTGTTCAATGCTTTTGCTGTTTGGCAGCATACTAAAAACACCAAGGTCACTATCTTTTACAAGTTCAGTAGTGAGGAGGTGAGCCCCAGTTTACACTTTGGAAATAAATCACCACAGCCCTCTTGACTTAATTCTTCCGAGGCGCTGTCCCAAATCCCATGTTCTTGCTTGTAGGAGGTGGAGGGGAAAAAACACACCTGCTCTTATTTCCTCTGGCAGCTGGTGCTGTGGGCAACTGTTTTGTTCACTTGGGAGTGGGTTTTTTTCCATTTCTTTCAAGCTTCTAATGCAAATACTTGCTTTGTTTTCTGTGTAAAAATCTGTTGAACAAAAATATACTCATGTACACTAACATTAGTAGACTGTATTCTCTGCAAGTACCTCACATGTCTTCTCCTGCCTTGTTCTTTGTAGTATACTTATTCATGTACTCTTAACATTCGTATGTAGTGTGCAACTGTAATGTCATGCTTATGAGAGGGGGTTGGCTGCCTCCAGCCCACATTCATCAATAGCAAAACACTTTAGATAAGTTATTTTGCACTTTCTTATGTATAAAATTGGTAGAAACTTATATTTGCTTTGTATCATTTTAAAGACTCCTTTTGTTTCAGTAAATGAACTGTGTATAAAATACTTATGCAGTTAAAACTGTTTTTAGAAAGTATTTTTAATTTCAGCAAGTTTGGTTACTTGTTGCATGACTATTAACACAGCTGACTTTTTGTGTCAGTGCAATGTATATTTTTTTTGTCCTGTTATTAACTTGTAAGCCCTAGTTAAATGGCCATTTATTTGTACAGCATCAGGAGTAAATTGAAGATAACTGGCTAAGACTGGAGTGTGGAATTTTGTACTATATTGCAGAATCCAATATTTGTTTTTTGGTGGTTACGTAAAAGGCCTGACGATTTACTATCTAGTGTGCAATCTGTGATATCTGAATGTTCATTGTATATTTGTCTCCAATGCAAAAAGGTAGAGTAACACAATTACAACAATACATGATTAAATGCAATAGTTCAGGTACTGAAGTATTTTTTTCATTTCAAATAAATACCTGCTATTTACCACCAAAAAGCTGTTTTGCATTTGTTGGAAAGACAACATTTGCAGCTGAATAAACATTTTTAACATAGGAGTGGTAACTAATGAGTTACATGTTTCTGTATTGTCATGAGGAGTAAATTTCTATACCTTGCTATACGGTTTTGCTTTCTGAACCCGAGTACAGTCATCCACAATGATGCAGTTTGAAATCATGTGTCTTTGTTTATTCTGTTTTGCTTTATATGTGTCATTGCAGAGTGTGAGGCCTGCAGAATTTGGCAGTGTGTAGAAGAATAGGCTGTACCGATATAGAGAAAGCACACAGAAAATTATATAAGTTGTGCTGGTAAGGACAGTGGAAGAGGAGGAAGTATCAAAATCCAGTTTAAATCATCTTCCCCTAGGAGAGAATGACTGCTAGAGCAGAACTTGACTGTATCTCATGAGAAACAGCCTAAGATCCCCAAATGCTGAAATATTTTTTGTTAAATCCATTTTTGTACCCTTTCTAAGCTGTTAATGCTAAAGAATGTGGGTTTTCATGTTGGCAGTTAATTACATGCCAACAATGGTGGCTAACAGTTCTCTAACTGAAAAACAGGCTCTGATGAAGATGGGCCTACCACGTTCTTGGCTGATGAGCACCTGGGTTGCTACTGCATTCTTGGTATTTGACAAGTAAGTGATTTCATTGGTTGTAAAACAAAAGGAATTTCTACCAATGAACTTAACTGTAATGCTTACTGCATTTAACATGAACTTCTTCCATGAAGGAAGTGTTTTTAGTTCAGTGTGCTCTCAAGGAGTAGGGACAGAAGGAATTTTCGTGGCCTTCGTAAGTCATATCTTGGTTCTATAGCATTGGTAATATCCACTTCTCATAGGTTCAAGTGTGAGAAGTGAGCTTTCCGTATTTTAAATCTTTTTACGTGCTAAAAGAAATGTTTTCTCTTTAACAGGGAATTCCCTGTTGTGTTAGAGGGGAATTACTGTACTTCAGAGCATACCTGCAGACGCTTGACATTTGACACATGCTGCAGCCTAGCAAACTGTTCTGCTGTCGTGGACCAGGTCATGAATGAACTTCATCAAAGATTTTTGCGCCACTAAGTCATGCTGGCGCAGAGTGTAGGGTCTGGCATCACTACCCACTCTTTGCGGGGAGAGATGTACTCCTAACAGTAGCTCCAGGCTGCTCTATGCAGATGGATTGTTCAGTATGCAGTACTTCAACCTCATTTTTTCATGGGAAAAAAAAAAGGAGTTAGCCACTTTCTTTGATCTGTGCCATATGAAGTTAGCTAACTTGTGCTTTAACTTGGTGCAGCATTCAGAATGATGCAAAGAGCTTGCAGTTAAATGTCGTGTCCTGCCTGGAGAGTGCACTGCAGCGCCTTGTCTCCGCAGCTTGTGAGTCTGATAGAGGGCATCATTCAGCTTTGGGAAGGTGAGCTAGCCCCATGGTATGGTTCTGTGGCCCTCATGCACCCTCAGCCACCCAAGTGTGCACGTGCTCTTCTCCACTTTGCCAGCCTTGGCATGTCCAGAAACTCTCTTCCACAGGTTTCTGCCTTGATGAAACAAACAAAACCCAATTGGCTTTTGAGTTTTCCAAGGTGTTTGTGGAGCCAGAGGCGGAGTGACGGGCAGGCAGGGCCGTGCCACTGCATCTGGCTTCCCCCAGGCATGGTGGAGAGTGGAGGTGCCAGGAGCCAGCATGGAGAAGCAGTGGGGGCTGCAGTGCTGACAGACCTTTTGATTCGGAAAGTGCAGTCCCGTCCCTGCCTGGAGGGGAATGACCGAGAAGTGTAATGACTGTGTTAAGTAAAGGATAAAACCAGGCTGCTGAGAGCCAGCGGTAGCTCAAATCCAGCCAGTGCTTGAGGTGCTGGGCTTCAGCTGTCCCACCAGCACCTTCCCCAGAGGAGAGACTGCTCCTTCCCCACCTTTGGTGCCACTGCAGCCTGTGCTGCCTGTGCTGTGTTGCTGGGCAGAGTCGCAGAGAGGTTAAAGCACTGCTGAGCTGAGCAGGAGCAAAGATGACCTCTGGGCAAGATTATGTTACAAATACAAACACTGATGTATGGTCTGTGTGTGTGTGCAAGGTGCTTGCCCAATAACAGTGATGAAAACGCTGTGTAATCAGCCACAACCCCCGGCCTGTGCAGGTAGGCTGTGAGGGTTGTTGGCACAAGCTGCCCTCAGCTCTGGGAAAGCTTCCAGTCTTCCTGAGAGGGGGCAGCTTCTGTGAGTGCCACACGTGAGGGCAAGGACTGCTTTCCTCAAAGCTTGGCTGCCCTCCCAAGGCCACCCTGATGAAGCGGGGCAGGGAACCACCATAGAGCTGCTGGGGCTGAGCTGCCCTCCTCCTCTCCTGCAGGACTTTCATTAAGGGACAAATGCTCTGATTGCAGAGTAATCTGGGAGCCATTTCCCAACTCCTGTGCAAGGGCAGGCCTGAGGAAAGGGCAAAGCTGTCCAGCAGATTTCCCCAACACACTACTCAAGCCCTTAAAATTCACCTACCTGAGCAGCACTTACTATATGTGTACCACCAAGGGATATATGCATAGATCTAAGAGCCAATCAGCCCCAAACCAAGCTGAGAAGTGCATTGTCAACAAAGGATAACAACAATAGCCTCACTTTAGTCCTAAAAGGAAGGTCTGGGGTTCAGCTGTAGGAAACTGCTAGGACATTAAGGCTGCTCCTTCCAAGGGATAGAAAGTAAAAGTAGGTTTGAATTCAGGTGTAAAAGCACTAGTAATTAAAAATAACAGTGAGGGATACTTCTGTGGATGAGTTAAAACCCTTGGCTATTCTTTTCTCCCTATCATTTCTTCTAGGATAACTGAAAAGTCTTGAATCCATGCAGAAGTCAAAATGTATTCTTTTATTGAGGAGGCACAATTTGTTTCTTTCCACTGTGTCACAGGATGGCACCATTCACCATGACAACTACCCAGGGTGCTTTCCTGCTTCACAAAAAAAAAATAACTTTTTTAAGGCTGACTTTTTTAGAGGGATTTCTGATGTCTTGGTATTGTAATATATGAAAATATAAGAGACAAAAATAGCAAGTTAGAACATGTTGCCCTGAAGCAGCAAAGCTCATGGATGCTGACAAAGCACAGAGATAAAAGATGCTTTTCGCTGGTTATCACTGAGTGAATGTTCTTGTTGGCAAAGCCTTTGTTATAGGAAACTTTCTATGACAGTCACAGCACAGCTTGAGAAGCACAAACTCTTCTGGAAGTTTGCAGTGCAGTGGAAGAAGAAAAATCCATTGGTAGTGACACAAGTCAAGAAGCCAATTCTTTATTAAAAGATCCTTTAAGCGTTCTTTCCAGTACAGACTTACTTGCTCCACTGTGGCTTTGAGTTGATGAAGATGAACAAACATTAATAAGAAAGAGGCAAATTGGACACCTCTATAAAATTAAGTAGATGAATTATAGATACTGATTACACCAAACATAAACATCAAACCACAAGAATTATACACAGTCCTAAGGCTAACTATGTAACAAATGTATGCAATTGCACTTAAGTCTGTAGAAAGTTGACACATGCTGCTGCCCAAGCACTCCATATCCTGGGTCAAGAAGACACTCACTGGGTATTCTCTGCATTGAGAACAGCAGCTTCGGAGCCAATACCCAGAGTGTTACTATGCCATACATTTAGCTTGTTGTGAAAGTGACCAAATGGGACCAGCAGTGCCCAACTGAATTTATTCAAGAAAAAAATGATATTAAACCAGTTTTACTGATATCTGCTGTTTTGTGCTTTTCCCTTAGCTAGAAACCCCAATGCCTTTGACCACAGTACACCCACCTGGGACAGAAAAGGTGATCTGATGCCCTGACCCTGTGGAAGCATCCTTTCTGCACCCACAGCCCACCCTGCTGCAGTGCCTGTACCTAGAGAGATACCACTCTTCAGGCAAGAAAATACTCTTACCAGATCCAGTGGAGTTCAGAATCCATCCCTGAAAGGTAGGAAAAGGGGCAAACACTCGTTACGGTTTGCTCAGTAGGTCACCCTTAGTGTTCAGTCTGTAATAAAAAGTGCCATTCCTTTTGTGAAAACAACAGATGCAAGAGCAAGACAGGGACCTAGAGTGGAAACTGAGAGTCTGGTTTGTTTCATTCAAGTGCAAGAGACCTCTAATGATCCTTCAGTAAAAACCCTGATAGGCAGCTGCTGCTGTTAGGATATTTTGCTCTTTGCCCTCAGAAAAGTTGAAAGGAGCTCTCTGCTAGGCAAGAGAACTATGCTGGTCCCTGAGGTGTAAAGCTAGTTAGTTGCAGAGCTGCTATAGGCAGCAGGAGGCTTATTGACTAGCTAGAAGAAAACCCTGTCAATATTATTATTCACTTAAGCTTAGAGCAAAATGGCTCATATCTTAGTTTTATTTATGAGCTGATTTATTCATGGAATTTCTTGGTACCTCCACAAAGTGCCTGTTAAATACTGGTGTTCAAATTCAGTACAGTCAGATGGTTCCATAGGTAAACTGCACTGCACGCTGAATTCTGTCATATCCTTTTTCAGGCACTGCCATTTCCATACTGGGAGACATCCCTTCACTGCAATAGGCAATGCTAAAGTTAGACCTGCTTTGAGCAGAAGGCAAAGCTAGATGATACCCACACGTCCTTTCCAATCCAAGTTTTTCTGTGATTGTATAAAGACAGTAATAGCAATCACCAATATATCTTTATCTAATCGTAGAATCATAGAATGGTTATGACTGGAAAGGATCTTAAGATCATCTAGTTCCAACATCTTCTATTTTGCAAAGTTATGGATGGATCCTTCCTCTGAGAGGATAACTACTCTCTTAGAAGAAATAAAAGCCTCCAACCACTTTGTTCTCTTTGCAATCAGGCAACCAGATAGGGACAAAACAAAAAGCACCCCAAACCTTCGATGAAAGAAACAGCTCATTTCACATTAAATGTGGATCAATGTGTAGAAGCTGCTCTAACTGCTAGCTCATTGCTCAGAGCACCTGCTCTTCATTTGCAGTGTTTTTCACTAATGACATTTAATAACATGTCTCCAGCGTGGCAAGTATCCAGCAGCGCTCCAAAAAAAATCAGTGCTTGTCACAAACACCCCCAGCACCCCTGCTATTTTCTGTCTGGATAGATGGCTATCCAGGGAACAGAAATGAACAGCATTTGGAATAGGACAGTGTCCATGGAGCTTGTCCAAAATCCCTTCAGCACCACTCAAGCCTAACACTTGACACCAAAGCCACTCCCACAGGAACTCCATCTCCAGAGCTTGACTCCAACCCTTCTCTGTTCCCGGAGTAAGGTTGCTTTGTGCTGTGGTTAACCCTTTGCTACAACCTGTTGGACTCGCTGTTTTAGCAGGCCACATCTTTGGCAGGAGAAAGGCTTTTCAGCTATGTTTTGCCATTTTTGCCACAAAAGGGTTGTGGCAGACTTTCCGCAGACCAAGAAAACCTGCTTTGGCTGGTAACTACTGAAAGTGCCCCTCTGCCTCAAGTAAGCAAGGCTGAGCCCATCACTGTACCCAGCAAACATTCTGATCTCAGGTGAATCATAGAATGGTTTGGGTTGGAAGGGACCTTCAAAGGTCATCTAGTCCAACCCCTCTGCAATGAGCAGGGACATCTTCAACTAACCCCAGCCCTGGGGAAAAATCTGTGGAGAAAGGTGTTCAAGGCCAGGTTGGACAGAGCCTTGGGTGACATGATTTAGTGTGAAGTGTCCCTGCCCATGGCAGGGGGGCTGGAACTAGATGATCTTTATGTCCTTTCCAACCCCAATTATTCCGTGATTCTATGATTATTATAAACAGCAATGTTCTTGCTACAGAGGCCCAGGCAACAGCATCCAATTTACATATACCAGCTCACAAGCTCTTTGTACTTATAAACCAAACACACGCATTGTATACACCAAGTGATGTGACAAAACCAGCATACTCTCTAAACACTGGTACTTACTCCTGTGAGTACAACACTGCTCTGCTGGGTGCCCCTGGGCCTTCTGCCAGAGGCAAGGAAAAATACATGGAATGACTGCCTAGGCTGTATCTTGGGCTAAAATAAAAGGGCTGAAAGTAATGAAGACACTTATTTCACACTGGAAAACAAGAATCAGGCCAGGCCTCTCAAATATTTTTCCTTACTGCAAGGTTATTTCTATCAGGCCACTTCTCTTTCACTTTTTTGTTTTGTTGTTTTTTACAACTGTGCAGTTGGAAACATCCATAGATAGAATGAAAAATACTGGGACAAGCCTGAGAAGAGCTCATATTGCATTGCAACAGGGTGACTCGAAGGCCAGAGGAGCTGCATGCCTGATGTGGAGCAGAGGAAGGAGATCTGAATGAGGCACACTGAAGCAGATCTTCACTTGCTGCCAACATATCACCTGCAGTCTGTGCCACAGCAGCAATACAAGCTGGCTCAGAGTGCTGCCCCTGCCATGTCTCACTGGACACAGACTCCCACCAGAGAGGGAAGTAGAAACACTTCCTTTAAGTTTAAAACTACTTTCTAGTTTTTGAATATCTGACACATAGTAGAAACAATACCCAAAACTTAGAAAAATTACCTTATGTTGTTATAATACTCTCCTTTCTCTAGCTTACTTGCTCTGAGCGTTTTACAGCCTCCTGTATACCATGAAGAGACACAGGAGATCACGACTAACAGAAAGAACCTTCAGTGGAGGGCAAGAAATCCTCATATATTTATGAAATAATCTCTTCTTGCACATCCAAAGAACCATGATTACTAAATACTTTGAAATCAGTCGGTTTTCTTGATGGGAAAAAAAAAAAAAACAAAAACAAAAGTTCAAGTTAATGAGAGACTCTGGCTATCAAAAACGTGCAGCCTATTCCCTCCTCTGTGCTCCTGTCAAGCGCTGGCACACCAAAGAGAAGACAGTGCAAGGGGCTGCTGTGTGGTCCACAGAGACCATACAGGCTTTGGACCCAATGAAGAAACGTTCCCATCTGTGCAACAGCATGTGACTCCAGCCTGCTCCGTCTCCTTGGAGCCAGAGGATCGTGGATGATGATGACGAGAGTAATAAAGCCCTGCAAAGCAGCACTCAGAAAGTTCAGCTACACCAAATGCCACTGGCATCAGAACCTAAACATCTCTCCCTTATTTTTCACCCACTTCTGAAGTACAGGGGAGTTTTGAGTGGCTGCACAACAGAGGAAGACAACAAACCTGATTTTTGTCTATCTAAGAACATTGTGCGTTTGTTCCCCCAAGTATTAATGTACAAAGAAGCCAGCATGTGGCTCAGACTCAGGCATACACAGCTACATGATAACGTAGGGTCCTGGGTAGTACAAGTAGGTATGAAACAATTGTGCACCTTCAGCCTTAGGTGAAAGCCCAGAGCCTCATCTATGCAAACAAAGTGATGTGCAGAGCTACTGGGACTACAGACCCAAAGAAATAGCTGCCTCAATGCCAACTGGAATAAATAACCGCAGCAAAATGTGATCACCCATAAGCAACAATGGGTCATTACGCACCATCAAAACAGTAGCATCTTCTATAGCACTGAAAGCAGAAGAGATGGACAAGACGCTGAGTCAGCCTATGAACAGATGGGTGTTTTCTCCTGTAGCACACTGTGCCCAAATTAATGGCAGGAAAAGATAGCTGTGGCAGGTCTTCATGCCCACCTCCCGCTGGAAGCAAAACTGCGGCTGAAGGAAAAGTTGATCTCACCATTTTTGTACTTCCCCCACGCTCCAAACGGCACTATGACAACTGTGCTGTTGTCTTCAGTGCCAAACTGTATTGCCTGAAAGAAGAAACAAGCTGTCAGCATAACTACCTTGTTTGGAAAAGGAAAAAAGTGTCTGGGTCCACATGGGACAGCATGCCCTGAGGCTCAAGAGTTCCTTGCCCCTTCCCAGCCCTGACACTCCATTCTGGTGTGCCCCAGAGCTTTCCATAGGATATGCCACCATCCAGAACCCTGGTGAGAAACTGGCCATTTCTGTCTATGCTGATCACGTATTCAGCACAGGAATAAACTGCAGTTGTTGTCCCATGCAGTTCAGTGGATCATCAGCTAAGCAAGTTAATTGAAATGATGCCTACCTGGCGAGGATGTGGCAACACCCAGGGTAAGGCAAAGGCTGGGTGGTGGCACTAGGGAATGTCTCAAGCAGTGTAGTGCAATTTACTTGAATGTGTGGCTGTACGCTTCATTTTTTTAAAACCAACCAACCAACCAACAACAAGCATTTGATGCCAAAATGAGCCCTGGCATTACCTGCTCAGTAACAACGTGGGCAGCTTCAGTGGGATCATGGCACTGGCTAATGAAGTCACAGATCTCCTGACTGTTCACCATGAAGTTAATACCATCTGTAGTGAGGACCAGGAAGCTGTCATCGGCATGCTGCAACTGCAAAAGCACACAGTATGCACAACAATGGACCAAGTGCTGCAAGGCAAATGAACTGCCTTAATTTATAGTACACCCTGTTGCAAAGAACCTTTTCAGGAGATGCTGTGGGCTTTCCTGCTTTGTGTGCAAGCACTAACAGGAACCTCCAAACCCTTGGCTAGCCAAAGGCTGCCCCTTGAATCCTCGGGTGTATCCATCAGCCATACAGACTGCCTTTTTCTCCTCCCTTCTCCTAAGAGGATAAACCTCTACGATTTTTTTGATGACAGCCCATTCATATCCCACCTAGTTCTGAGTGATGGTTTTATATCGGCATTTACATCAAAACTATTCATTTGACCACAATACCCAAACAGACTAACACCTTTGTATTTCAGTAATAATGTGTTGTCTTTCTTCCCTCATGCTGTATTGCATTGTGAGAAATGGGATTTAGAAGTTGATCTGGTTGAATTTAGTATCAGGGCCAGATTTTCTCTCCTGTTAGTGTTAATCTGAAATGACTTAATTAGAATTGGTCTCCAGTTACTTCACCAGAAATAAAAACCAGTGCTTGGCCATCAGGCATCACCTGGGCACATCATGTGAATACCACCACCTGCATCAAATACCTGTGGTGTCCCTTAGTCTGAGTGTTGCTGCCCCTGTAAACCAGGACTTCTTTTACCTGAACCCTTTTTGTTTCTGGCTGGGCTATCACACCACTGTTTTTAAGATCCAAATCTCCTATGCTCCGTGTCATTGCAAGTCTACCATTCACATGAGGTTGTCCCACGCTGTTCCAGGTAATGAAGCCACCACACTTCCTAATCCTGTCCAGAGGCACAAAAGAAAAAGCAAGTATGAGTTATTGCTTCACACCGTTACCCCTGTCTCTATCTGCAATTTCTGTCACTAGCTACTGACGCCAAATGGGGTATGGAGGACCTAAGCTGGTAGACTGAGGGCTGGCTTTAGCTGTTTGAAGGGTCCACAGAAGGGATGTGTCTTGGCAAGCTGAATCCTGACCTGGCCACCATAGTGCATTTCTGCAGGTCTTATCTCTACCTTGGCAGTTTTGGACAAGTCTGAGCCAGGTAGTCACAGCTCTGTACCAAGTCCTAGCTATGCTGATCTGACTGCTGGGACAGTTCATACCCAAGTCTTAGCTATGCTGATCTGACTGCTGGGACAGTTCATACCCAAGTCTTAGCTATGCTGATCTTACTGCTGAGACAGTTCATACTCATGTAGGGCTTTCCATATCCCCAGTCCTCTAAATGGAACCACGTGAATTAACTGGTGCTGTGCTGCTTTCTGCCCACTCAGAGGTGATCTTGGGGCATTATGTTCAACTCTCTGCTTCCTTCCAGGCCCAACCGAGCAGCAGAACACCAGCACATCCTGACTGAGGCCCTGCCCTGGGAAGCCATATCATTAGCTGACAGGTACCTTTCCTTCTCTTCTTTTCTTTCTGGAGTATGGTCAGTGGTGAGTTTCATGGCCTTCCCCTTTCGACACAGCAAAGCACGACTGTCTCCCACACTTGCCACAACTAGCTCAATACCATCCCGGAGCAGAGCCACTGTTGCAGTGGTCCCAGAGTTCATCAGAGTTGCTATAAATGTCATATCAAAGAGAGAGGTTTTAGCATAGCACTGCCTCAAAGTACAGGACCATTTATAACAGTTCCAATTGGTAAAATGAAGACAACTTGTGCTCTATGTTTACCAGTAAGTAACTGCTTTTACATTTAAACTAAATCTACATCCAAAAAAAAAAAGGAAACATGCATGTAGGACTGGGGAGAGAGATAGGAATTGGAAAGGATGTTTCTGTGCAACAACATGGCTCCATGCAAAGAGGGCAAGTGGAATAAAAGCAGTTACAAGGTACAGTGGCTTTTTTTCAGCTTGTAGCCAAATGTTTTTCTAGCTAGCTAGAAAAACTAGCTCACCTCAAGTTACAGGGCTATCACCCTTGCCCCTGGGCACAGTGACTGTGTGGATGATCCACCATAAAGCTGATGGCTCTTCCCTTCTGTTAGGTGGTGAAGTGAGCAATTGAGTAATAGTAATTGTAGCTCCACATAGTTCACCAGAAGAGAAATACTAGATTACTCCTTTACACTAGCCTGTGTCATCCTCCCATTGCTGTCAGAGTGGTTATAATCTCCCTCTGCTTCCCCCAGTCTTGCCAAGAGATTAAGGGTTTTCAGCCAGCAGATCTCTGCTTTTTCAGAAAGGGACGCTGCTCTCCTCAGACCCTGTCAACTTATTGGAGGTCCCAGTGCAAAGGTGAAGCTGGATTCTGTCTCTTGCCTTGTGCCTGCAAACAGCTGGCAGTGGCTGTCATCTGGGCAATCTGCCCTGGGCACCAGTGGGATCTGTTTTCAGGGGTGTAGGTGTACATAGGGGGCAAACCAGAGCCCTTGGTGTTGCCTTCTTTCTCTTACAGCTCAGCTGACTGAGTTCAGAGACCTGAGTAGCTTAACTGATGCAAGTAAATTTAAGGGCTTCTTAAGTTTCTACAACACCAGAAACAAATAAGTGCTTGAAAAGGAGTACTATGAGTCTGCCTTATTTCAGAAAAGATCTGTAGTTTTATCTGCAGGGAAGGAAGTGCCAGAAGAACCATCCAGCTTTCCTGTCTTGTTTGTTTTTTTGAAAGGAGCAGCCTTGTTTTACAGTTAGTATCTTCCGTTCCCCAAACTATGCAAAGGTAACCCAATGAAAGGTGCCTGGAAAGACCTGAGCTATTGCAGTAAAATGTCTGGCATTTGCTATTGCCCAAAGCACATTTGTATTCACAGCCAGTGCAAATCCCCTTGAAAGGCCCTCTGTAGGTCTCCTGCATTCTGGGCTTTTCCAGTTTTTCCAGGTTTTAAAAGCAAGCCAATTCAAAAGGCATTTTGGGCTAATTTAGGAATGAGAATCCCCAGTTACATTCTTGTTTTCACATCACTAACAGTTAAAGATCTTTCTACCACCACTTCAATGCAGAGCTCAGCTACAATTATGTTCACTCCTACCTCTGGCACTGCAGCCATGACTCTGGGGAGGTGGATGGATCTGAGACAGGACTGCATGTTTGAGCCCAAGGAATGCCAGCCAGTCCCATCTCTGAGCAGTTGCCAGCAAACAGTGTACATACAGCACAACACCCTGTGTACTATGGAAACAGAAATGAGAGTGCTCTGGGATTTTGGAGACCTCCTTCCCCAACCCTGCAAGGTCTCAGCACCCTTCTGTAAGTAAAACAGGGTTGGGAGTAAACTGAAGTGCAGAACCCTGAAAGATGCATTGAGCCTTGTTATGCAGAAAAAGCATGGTTTTGATGAATCAAAAAAACCTCACAAAACAGTCTAAACTAAGCTTGTGTTATTATTTAAAACAGGTATTATTACTGCAATGAGGTCTTGGTTTAGCTATAGACTTAACCAACATGTCAATCATGAACATCAACCACAATGACTATGGTCAAATCTTGGACTACATTATGGCTGCCATGCAGGCTATGATATTCGAATTATTTAGATGCCAGTAACTTCTGACTATTCAGGTAAGCACTGACATCCTGTTTCTAATTTGAAGCAAGGTCTAGTCCAGTGCAGGATCACTTTGAGGCACATTATGAAAGCAAGATGCTAACAAGTACCAGTGCAATTAGAAATTTTAGTAGAACCAGTAAAATACCTGTTTTAGCCAGCAGTTAAAAGAATTGAAATGAAGAACATAAGTAAAACTATCTTTTTATTTCACAGAAAATATGTTTTATTTAGACATTAAAATTAATGCAGAACTGCTACTACTCTCCCATTTCATTCCTTGGTTTTGGAGTTATGTTGAAAAACAGCAGTTTCTGAAAAAGTTAAGATCTGTAGTCTTTAGTTCATAAATGGCTAGAAACATATGGATATTGAGGTGAAGCTGCATCTTTCAAGTGCAAACTCTCTAAGAAAAGAGCCGTGATTACAAAATCAAGGGATGCTACTAAAGAACAAGTCAAGATAGTGCCCAGAATTGTGGTAATAGTTGTACTGACTTGAGGTTTACATACATCTATTAGTTAAATAGCACTCCTGGAAAAAGAAATGCTGCTCATGCTTTCTTCCTTGGAACACATTAATGATCCGGGTGGGAGTGCAAGAACTAGTAGCTTGACTTACAAGCCTTACATGATTTCTAGCATAGCTCGAAAACACAGGAATGATGATGGGATAACATTTCTAACACTTTACTACAACTGCTGCTAGGTTATTTATTAATATCAAAATATGTTGCATATATATATTGGTTTTAACAATTAAAGAGTTTATTTTGTTTTCCTGACAATATCACTATGCAACTAAGATCTTTCAATAGGTTCTTAACACTCACTGGACAACTTCTACTGCAAGTCATCTCAACTAATGTGACAAAGAGGATGTGGGAACCTTCCAGTAGTCCAGGCTAGGAACCGCTGGACTGCTTCACCTGGGACAAAATTAAGCAGATCTCTCTTTCCACTGAAGCCTAGCATATAGTGTCGAGGGCCTCCAGTTCTAGAGCTGCTGACCAGGTACAGTGTCTGCCACAAATAACACGCACACAGAGGCAAATAGAAAATTCACCCAGGGACTTTGTTCAAACAAAATAAACCTGCAACACTGGAGATGAAAGAATAAGAGCTGCAGAACTAGGGACGTAGTCACTCTTGAGTTTGCCTGCACTTTTCTGCAGGTCATTTAGAAGTACTTGAGGCTTGCACATGCATCTTTTGCAACAGATAAATCAGCCTTGGTATTTCTGGGGAATTAATACCATTCTCGCCTTTTTGCTAAAACTGTGTGACAGAACCAGTTTAAATCCAGTCAAATAAAAACTCATTTTTTGTTGGCTTTTTTTTTTTCTGTGGAGGTAAGTAACCAACCCACAAATCAACCAAAGCACTTTGTCAGTGCTACAGGGCCAGCTGTCTCCTCCATGGCAAGAGTGGCCACTCTAAACATCTTCAGTACAGAACATGGCCCAATCCATTTCCTCAAGGTTATTTATGTATTTTTCTATATATATATTCACATATAACACAAAAATGGGGAATTCAAACTAATGCCACCTAAAATGGTCCCATCTTAAAGGCATTGAATAGAAGTACATTAATTGTTCTGGCTCATGGGAAAATATGCAAAATAAACACTCCTTTAATAGTGTAATTAGTATCTTCAAATTTGATTAGGTAATAATCAGGATAAAAAGGCTGCCTTTGTAATGGCTTTATGATACATTCAGGTAAAATTTCTGCAGCTCTCCCTTTTCCTCAGTGTTGCAGGTTAACATATTCAAAGAAATAAAAATCATGTGTGAATGGTAACTTAAAAAAACACAATACCAAACCCCACTACTTTTTAAATTTAGTTATTTTAAAACAACTTTTGCTGTTTGCTCAGCACAGTAAGATTACAGGAGTGCCTTTCAAACATAGACACTCCAGTTAATACCTGGCTATGTTTTAATAAGATGGCTATTCCAGAAGTGAGTGGCCAATGTTATCAGAGTTTGATGAGCTGAATGTGGAGGTCGATGGAAAGACTCTCTGTTGTCTTCTCCAAGTAGTGGATTACAGTGAACATAAGCAGTAGCAGTACCTTGTAGGACAGCACTAGGCCAGGAGAGGGTTTGTCTTAACATTTCTCCAGATAGATGCTGAAATTTGCTGAAGCATAAAATTCACTTTCTTATTTCTGTCCTTGTCAAGCAAAGCTGTTCGGCCTTTATAATTCAGATTTTATAGCTGGTTCAAAATATCAGAAAATTCTGTCCATCTGTGTTAACAGCTCTCCCATGGATAATGACCTATTTGTTAGACAGCTTCCTTTGCTATGTCCTATGTCTAAATTTAGCAGTGATTTAAAAGTGGATATATTTGAATATGTGGAAAAAAATTAAAATACATTTTTTAAGAGATATCAAGCACCATATTTCAAGGCTCAGGCATATCTCTAAGCTGTTAATGATTAGAAAGGATTTAGGTGGAGGACAGATTATCCCAGACCTGCCTACAGTAAGTTTCTTATGCTTTTGTGTGAAACAACAGGTACAGATCACTGTCAGAGGGGATACTGGACCACTCCAAAAGCACTAGTGAACCTCACGCCAGATGTAGCTAGCTGCTCCAACAAGGCACATCTCTAGTACTGTTAAATTTGTGCCATTATATGAGCTTTTTATCCTTCAAATAGTAATATAGACAATGTGTCGAACCATATACATGCAATTTTGGCTACAAGGATTTGTCCCAGGACTTACTTTCCTTCAAACACCCAGGCACACACTTTCAAGGCTGGTCCTGTGTTAGTAGAGACCTGGACATTCTGAACATGCACTGAGGTTTTTTTTGCAGATATAGTGAAAGAAGTGAACCTGATGGGGTCATCTGTTGGAACAAGACTAACCTATTATTTTCCACTTCATCAGCTATGGCTGGGTTTCACAAGGAGGTCAGTCTTGGGGAGTATCCAGCATACCCGTTACCCAGTGTTACACAACCAGCCATATTTTCAAGATACTTCAGCAACAGCTTGACTGTCACATCTAGAATAGCCACAATTATTCAGAAATTTTGCTGGCAAACTGAATCAGTTTGGAAGTAGGCTTCTAACAAGGATACATACCGAGCATTGAAATTTTATGTAATTTTCAAAACAGCAGCAACAACAAAAATATCCACACCAAGCAGTCAACATAATACTTAATTATTTTAACAACAGATATGCTAAAAGTTTTATTTGTTCAGAAATCCACTTGTCTTTGCATGCTGTTACTCCACTCTGCTTTACAGCTTGGTTTTCAGCTGGGCAACCAGGCTGGGCTCCTGCAAGAGCTTGCAGGTGCTCAGCCTACCTGAGAAACACTGAGTGCTTGCCAGAGTGTGGCCCTGGCAGATGTTTGGCAACGCTTTTGCCCTCTATTTTGCTTGATCTCAAGCTTTTTTAATGAATCAGGTTTGTCCAGTATCTTGGTAACTGTAGTGTAAATTTGCTGGCATTTGCATTATATTTCATTAAGCAGTACCAGTTAGTTAAATAATATGAAAAAAAACCCCTATAAACAGTTGAAAAACACTCAACTTGCTGCACAATTTGTCTGTCAGGTAATGTTATCCATTTCTGTAAGTCTCACATATGAAATGCTACAATCAGAAACCATTTTCAGAATAACAGAATAATATACCAAGTACAGTTCCCAATCCTTCTCCTCAAGGAGCTGCTCTGGCACTGAACAGAGGTCACTTCAACGAGCCAAACCAAGAGCTACTCTACTAACAAAGGAGCAGGGAGAGGGACAAATATAACAGATCTTCCTCTTAGTGAAAGGTCCTGGTCCAGGGAAGTACGTAAGACTGTATTTACATGTCTTACTAAAACTGGGCTTTTAGGAAAATGTATTTGCAAGGAGGCTCTTGAATAAAAAGCACATCTGCTCTACTGATGAGCTCATGAGTTTAACTAACTCACCCCACAGATCAAAAGTGACTCTGGACTTCTTTACCACATTTTTTTAAAGAAGGATTCTGGTATAAAATAAAAAGGGCTATAACGGGGAAATGAGCTATATAGCTTTAATTCCCCTTTCTTAAGGGCTGCAAGAATTTTTTCCCTGATACCTTATCTTGTACCAGGTAAGGGGAAAGACTCGTATCCCTCACAGTACTGCAACAGTCAGGCTACTGGTCCTGCCAAGAAATATTTGAGTCTAAATACATTCATCTAGCAGGTAAAGTGCAGGAAGCCACTCCATTACTTGACTGTATATTCATTGCTTAAGAAAAGTAGCTTGAGAATACAGTATCACTTCAGTCCCTAGAGTGGTTGTTGGTTTCAAGTCCTTCTTGGAGAGAAAACTTACATAGTTTTTGTTCTTCTGAAAATTACCTCAGTCATTTTGCCAGCACCTGCACCAGCAATGGGACAGGATGTTTGTTTTGTTTGTGGTTTGGGTTTTTTTGTGTGGTTTTGGTGGTTTGTTGGGGTTTGGTTTTGTTTTGGGTTTTGTTGGTTTGGGATTTTGTTTTGTTTGGTTTGGTTGGTTTTTTTTTTGTTTGTTTTGGTTTGTTTGGTTTGGTGTTTTTTTTTTTTAATTGGGTTTGTTTTGAGGTAGGGAGTTTGGTGAGTTTTTTACTTTTTTTGTTTGGTTTTTAAGACTGGCTAGACTGACTCTTTAAACTGTAACCTATGTCTAAGGAAGCTCTTGTGACAGAACTCAGATGGGGACCTCTATCTCCCTTCTCAAGGGAGCTCTCTATAAGCTCCGGTTGCTGGAACTGGAACTTCAGATGTGCTTTGTCCCTAGACACATATACAAGAACCTGATTAACAGCCAGGACTAAGGAGTCTAAAAGGTCTGGTGCCAGCTTTACCACAGCCTTGCCACAGACAACCTTGTTTCCTCTTCACTGCTTTTTTATCCTGTCACACTCAGCTACTCTTGTGATTCTGTTTGTGCAGAAGCAATATCAATTGTATTAATTTTGGCTTATGTTCCTCCTCAGGAAGGAGGTTAGAAAGGGGAACTTTTCTTTTGACACTGTTGCTTTTAACCCATAGGAGTAAAAATTAAAAAACAAAGCAAAACCCCCAGAAAACCAACATCAAAAATCCCCCCTCCAGATTCCTCACACAGTAGTTTTGCTCCTTGCAAATCTAAACCACTCGTTACTAACTTGATATACACTCTGCTTGACAGAATCACATTAGGATTAATTCATTTATGATTATGTTAACATCCAGATTAATAACTCCCCCAGTAAATTTGATATAGACTTTTATAGCTTTTTCATCTTAAGGAGGTAAAACATAATTGTTTCATTTTGCAGTAAGCAATCAGAGCAAGAGCTTATGTTAAATAAAACTGTTTTCAAGCATTTTTCTGGACATTTTACTATAAAACTACTGAGCAAATAAGAAAAACCTTTTGCTCCACACCATACGAGTAGAGTATTTTTTACCTACCGTCAGGAGACAGATGAGCATGCCTTTCATATGCTTTGTTTATTTCTAGAAAAGCTTTGTTCAGAACATTTTCCAAGTTCTCCTCCTCGGCAAGAAATTCTCTGGAAACAAACAAGCGAAAATAAGATTAAGCTTCTTTCCAATACATCTTGATCAGTCTTTTCTGTAGCCTTATCTCCTCTGTGCATACACTGAGTACTGCTGGACTTCAGTGAAGGGTTAATAGACCTGCACTGGAAGCATAATTCTGTAATTTTAAAAATACATAAATTCTTCTTCCAACACCCAGGCATGTGACATACAGATGCAGAAAGAGTGCATGCAAGAAGTAGGTCAGCAATCACAGTGCCCCCATCTGCAAACAGTCAGTTCACACTCTGTCTGTATTCCCAGTCCTTTCCTGGAAGGTGAGTACAATCGTATTTTCCCCTCTTGTCTTTGCGGGCTTGCTCAATGGGGCAGGCACCATACAAAATAAGTAATTCATAACATGTCTGTTGTAATGGGCTATTTCAGTCCCATGTTCCTGCTCTCCCATTGGGCTAGGTGGTTCTATAACCTAAGGAGAATTAGTAACAATGTATGATGCACTCACTGGTTGCCCTTCAGTCCTAAGGAAGGAATCTTTACTGTAATTCATTTGACATGTATTCACTTGATGCACACTTACTTCATATATTTTTCCATGTACTTATCACAGAAATCAGCTGCTGCTGCCCCACCATGTCCATCATATACTGCAAAGTACAGGACATCCTTTGTCAGCTCGGCATAATGAAACCGGTCTTCATTTTCCTTGCGTTTCCCAATATGGCTACTGCAACCCACATTGGCCAGGCTTACTTTTGGAATTGGTTTCCCATACTTTATGCTTGGTGGGAGGAGAATAGGTTCATCAATGCGATTGTCCCAGATGCCAAAGGTATCCCATGTGGTAGGTCGCCCGCTCCCATCTGAATCGAAGCGGGAAGCACGATGCTCAGAGGTGGAGCTGTAGCAGGCAGTTGTTGGACGCTTCTCGTCTTGCAAGAGGCGGGATGTCAGCACAGCTCTCCTTCTTACTTGATACCCTCCATTCCGTACCAAATTAATTAATGTAGTTGTTGACATAACTTGTAGGAATAAAAGATCTGCAGCTGCTGGAATACCTTCTAAAACAAAGAGAAAACTGATCAGGAAACAAGAAGCACGGAGAAGAATTTTCAGTTACATCATTCAGGAAACAATGTCACCCTTGGAGCCGTTAATCGCGCATAGCACAGCACTGCCTAGAAGAAACTAGAGCTATCTGCATGACTCACTGAGAAACAATCCTACAGACCAGCCCACATCTAATGGGGAGTACTGCAGACAGATCGAGGTAAGACATTTCTGCTGGCCACCCGCAGAAAGATATCCTGCATTTTCAAATGTTGAAGGGGTTGTGCTGGAACAAATGAGAGTGATAATGACTTTGCTGCATGTCAGCTAAAATATGAGTATGTAAAAATACGAGGTGAGGTTGTGAAAATGAGCTTATCATGCATGCTCTTCAGACAATAGCTGAAACATCTGCACTGTGGCTTCCCAGGGTGAAAGGAAGGAGAAATATCTTTGCTTAAAGAGGTTTTTTTCATTTGCACATGATATTCAGTTCTGTACTCTTCAACAGAGCTCAAAGCTCATTGCTTTACATGCTCTTGGTTTACCTTTCATGCAATATTAGATGAAGAAAGGTTTCTTTACTTAGTACTTGCAGAGTAACTGTCAAGTTGATAAAAGGCCAGATGTGCTGAGAATCCTTGTTATCGCACCAAACAAATACGGGCTAAGCTACCAGGTGAATGGAACTGACCACTTGGAATTTTAACATTTTCCATTTTAGTAGGGGGTGACATAAACATCAGATCCCCATTTCAGTATACTTACAGGTATTTAAAAACTCGTTTACTTCCTTGGGTTGCTTTTTCTTTTCTGTTACCTTTGACTGGTGGTAACCAGTTCCTTCTGTGCAACACAGCGTGACCAGGTTGAAAGCCTGTCAGTTAACAAAACCTGCACATGATTTCACTTGTCAGCTTGAAAGCAGAATATGAAACGTTAGGTATCTTTTCATTTCCCAGTATCCACAGCATGAATCTGAAGATTAATCCAAAATCCCAAGATAATTAATGTATTTGTTCCCTATCAAATTCAGCTCTCAAAAGGCCTTTGTTTTTTTCAGGAAAGCATAAGGATTGATGACAGTTTTACTTTTCAAGTGCGTCTGCAAGTCATGAGTAGGAAGCTGATCTTTAGTTTCTGTGATGTAAATAGTTGTGCTTCCAGTTGGACATAAAACAGCCTGTGCTTTCCTAACTGATAGGTTTGCAAATGCAGGGCAAGCCTATCTTGGGAAAACAAGCCCAAGGTGTTGGGAGAGGGGGGCACTGGTGTTAAAGCCAAAGTCCAAGACAGACATTTGGAGGTGGATATCTGTCTTGAGGTGCTCCATCTGTGCCTGTTTATCTGTACAGTTTTAGTTTTCTTAATTTAAAGAAATAGTTCCTACAGTCAGACGCTGAAATGCAATGCTTAAAGCAAATGAAGCAAGTGATTAAACTGCAGCCCAATGTGCATGGTGCCCTTTTTACAGTCCGGCTGCTATTTGACAGATGGAAATTTCCCAGACTGCAAGAAGGGGGTGAGGGGAATAGAAGAAACCCGGAAGAAAGAGAAGGCATGCCTGCTGCCCCAGGGGATTAGATGCATTCTAAAAAGGAATTTTAAACTCTGAGCACGTATAACTGCTCTTGCCCTGCATGCTTTCCAAGCCCCACAGATGTGGGTAGTACTGATATCTCTGTATGTTAAGCTCGTCTTAAATCAGAGGGGTTTTTTAAATCAGTGTCAATATTATCTCACCGATTGCCTGACTAATAAACTGCACAGGCTGCAGCCGTTTAGAGGTCTCTCCTGCTATTTCCTAATTACGAGTTAGCACCCCACCAGCTGACTAGGGCTGGCCTGGCAGCGCTGTTCGCTCCCCCGAGGAAGGGCTGCTGTGACACAAGCAGCACAGCTCTCTAACGCCGCCCTACCGCACCGGGAGCGCTGCCTGTGCTGTCCCCGGACTGCAGTGAGGGGCTCCGCAGAGCCGGGAGGGCAGCTCCGAGGCTGCTCCTCGCCGCCCCCCTGCCAGCCTGTCTTCACGGCAGATGGTGTCCATCAGTTCACTCCCTCCGGCCTGGCTGCCGGCCGCCCCTAGCAAGGCTCGTGAGGCTGCACCTGCCGCCGCCGGGAGGGACCGGTGTCGGTAAGCCGGAGCGGAGCACGCCTCCTTCCCAAATCATGCCGAGGCCCGCGCCGCCCAGCTCGCCCTCCTCTCCGAAAGGGGCGAGCGGAGGGAGCCGTTTCCCAGCCCTGGGTCCCCGCCCCGCTCCCCTCAGTGGCCGAGGGCACCTTCCCGCGCGCTCCCCTCCCCTCCCCTCCCCTCCCTTACCGCAGCCCCTGAGCCGTGCAGAAGCTAAACCTTGGTGCGGCCGCCGGGCTGCCCCGGGGGTGCGGCGGCCCCTACCTCCTTCCGCGCCCCGACAGCCGGCGGCGAGCTGCGCCCCAGCGGTGCAGGGGCAGAGCGGACACCGCTGGCCGCCGCCCGCTGGCAGGGCCAATCTGGCGGCGCCTGGGGGCGTGCCGCCGCGGCCCTGCCCTCTTCGCCTCTCCCAATGGCAGCAACAGCTGCGGCCGAGCCTCCCCCAGCGCCCCCGGCCCGCCCGCCTCTCTGCCGGCCGTTGGCCCTGACGTGCCGCCGGGAGCCGCTTGGCGCGCGGGGCCCGCGGGAGGGTCGGTCCCTGAGGCGGCTCGTGCCGGCACCGTTACGAAGGCCCCGCCGCTGCCTCCTTCTCGTAGAGCGCTGACCCGGCGCCGTCCTCGCCCCGCCGAGCCGGTGCCGTCCGGGTGGAAAGCCCAGCCGCAAGGACAGCAGGCCGTGCTGCAACTGCCGCGGGCGGGCTGCTCAGGAGCACCTTGTGGAGAAGTGCTTATGTCGTGAAGGAGAAGCATGGCGACAGGTTTAAAATGCATCTGAGCGTGCTGCTCCGAGGCGGCTGTTGCTATGAAAAATCCCCGCCGCCTCCTCCTTACTTGCTCGTCTCCAAGTGTCAGTTTGAAGAGGTCATTTTGCATGGCACTACTGGCATAGCCTTCGACCTCTGATGCAATCTGGTAAACGATATGGCTCTGATTACAAAAGCCTCTGAAGCACACCTTCCCACTGGCCTCGTGCTGTCCACTAGAGAGGAGCACTTGAGGACAGAAAACAGAGGAGAAAAAAGCCTCTGCTGCGGTTTCCATAGGAGCTTAAGGAGGTCACTGCCAAATTTATCCTACATATTCATCAGGTAAAGGAAGAATTTTGGGGGTCTTTCTTTTTAATTTCAAGAGCATTCTGTCTTCTAACTTTTATCTGTGACTGACTTTGACCTCATAAAAATCCCATTAAAATGTGATACTGGACATGCAAATTTACAAACTGACAACTTCAATTTCCCAAATAGGGACTTCACAAAGACTTCATCAGTATTTCAGGAAACCAAGTTCTTTGGTCTCCTGACCGCGAGCACAGCTTCTTAAAAAGTGGCACCTATGGATCTTTGTCTAGTGCTGTTCTTAGGTGACATTCTTACAACGCTGCCTTTAATATTTATCATCTGCCTAATGACACAGTCATGTCACCTTACTGTGTTCTGAACCAAGCTTAGTGATAGCCCTGGCTGCAGTGAGCATAATATTGTGGAGTTTGGGATCCAGCTGAGTGCAATGAATGTTAGTACTAAGACAAAGGTTTTAGATTTCGGAAGAGCAAACTTCGGCTCACTCAGAGCCCAGCTGGGAGGGATTCCATGGGAATTTTCAGCGAGATCAATCAGCCTTTGGAATAATCTCCCCAGGGAAGTGGTGGACGCCGCAGTGTTGGATGCTTTTAAGATTCAGCTGGACAGGATGCTGGGACATCTTTTCTAGGTCATGCTTTGCCTTGGAAGGTTGGGCCACATGATCCTTGAGGTCCATTCCAACCTGGTATTCTATGAAATGATCTCTTTGAAAAATGAAATTATGTCAGCTGCCTCCCTGCTCTGTTAAGTAGGAGACAGTTAAGCAGTTCTGAACAATGTGCCTTGACTGCCAAATCCATTGGCTTCTGGACAGAAAAGCAGCAAGAAAACCCCTTATAGCTCTCACAGTAGAGGTCTACTTGTAGAAGAAGGGGTTAGGTAAGCATGGTAGCACCTACTAGATTGTTCTGGTTTCCAGATGTATGGTGTCTTACCCAGAATTTAGAATGAAATTTAAACCTGTGAAACTTAATGGGGATAGTAAACACTGTCATCTATTGCTTCAGGTTGATCCCTGGTTCCCATGTGTCCTCAGTGAGGCAAAGGAAAAAGAACGTTCTGTGGAAACCAGCTCTCCTGGCATCTGGAGGAAGTGTCAGGGACCTATACGACATTAGGCACAAGAGCTGAGAGACAATTTCTGCCCTTGAAAATTTGCTGTGAAGGCCATCACAGAGATTATAGATGTTTCATGCTGAGCCTTTATGTGCAGTGGAACTACTCTTACATTTACAGGGTTTTGAAAGCTAAGTGGGAGGCAGCTGAAGAGGCAGCAGCAGGAATTTGAGGTGGCAGGAGGAAAGAGGCAGCAGGTGTGATAAGAGCATTGTGAGAAGGCAGCAGATGAGGCCAAAGCAGAATCGTGTGGATGCCTGGGGTAACAGGTGGGGGCAGAGAATGGGGGAATAGGCTACAGTGCAGTGCTTGGTACTTTGAGGGACCTCTGACAGCACTCAGAGGACAGAAGGCAAAAAAAAAATAAATATTAGGAACAGGAACTATGTATTTTGAACAACATATTTTGTACTATGAAACATTTGGTTTTGACTGCAGTTAACTTGGACTTTCCCCTTCCTTTGTTTTTTTTTTCCTTTCTAAAGGATGAGTTTTCTATATTCCAGCTCTCCTAGCAAGGAATTTCTGCTCCTGCAAGATTACCTTTCTTGCTCTTAGTGTCTTTGGTTTTGCTTCTCCATCATGTTCCTGACCTTTCCCTCCCTTGCCACTTTCTGCTTTATTTTGTTCTTGTTTTCCTTCACAATTTGCACATATTATTTTTGGGATTATTTCTCTCCTGCTACTTTTCTTCAGTTTTTTACTCAGCTTTCTTTCCTGTGTGCTTCCATGTCTCATGTGACTGGAAAACAATCGATGGGGGAGCAGGGGGAGTTGGTTGTCAGTGTGCTAGCATACCGTCCTTCCCAGAACTGTAACCGAACACAGCAGCTGTGGATGGAAAAGAAATGTCCATTGTATCCTCTATGTATTAGATCTCAGATCAAGCTAGAAATGCAAACTGGTTCTGAACACTGTTTTTCTCATTAGCAAGATGTGCTTTGCAATGCTTGACATTGACAAGTGGGAGAAATTACTTGTCCACCATGCTTTCTATCCTCATAAGTGAAGAATTGTTCTCTATGGTATGCCCCAAGCTAACTATCAATCTGTACTCCCTAGGTTTGCTAGCAGATAAGAAGACACCAGAAAGCATCCTGTGATTGTGGCAAAGGGAAGTAGCCACCTTCTTAACACTGACCTTCTAATAATTGGCAACGGCTATCGATCTGCGTGGCACTTTTCAAAGGCAGCCCTTCAAGATAAGTGAGCTGATGTGCCTGGCTGCTGTCAGACCCTAAGTGCACCAAGAAGCTCCACAGGCAGCACCCCTGCTACCTCAAATTCCTGCTCCTGCCTCTTCAGCTGCCTCCCACTTAGCTTTCAAAACCCTGTAAATGTAAGAGTAGTTCCACTGCACATAAAGGCTCAGCATGAAACATTTATAGTCTCTGTGATGGCCTTCATAGCAAACTTTCAAAGAGAGAAATTGTCTCTCAGCTCTTGTGCCTAATGCCGTATAGGTCCCTGACACTTCCTCCAGATGCCAGGAGAGCTGGTTTCCACAGAACGTTGTTTTTCCTTTGCCTCACTGAGGACACATGGGAACCAGGGAACAACCTGCAGCGATAGCTCTGCGGTCAGGCTCGGTGGTCCTTGGACTGAGGCTGACTCCTGTTGCTGTCACCAGCTGGTCTTGCTCTCACTGTTTGAGTGCTATGGGGTATTGTCAGTGAGGTCTCTGCCTTCCACACTGTCACCCTTATACCCAGCTTGCCTGTGCTGGTGGAGCAGCCATGCTTCTCCTTGCTGACAAAGACTGCACACAGTCCTCAGAGTGTGGGTGAAAAGTGCCTTCCTTCTTTCAGAGAAAAGTGCTTTTTGGCACTCTTGTTAGGTATTGCCCTTATTTAATAGTAGTGCTAACATTGAAACATGACTAGGAAAGTTAATGAGCATTCTGATTAGAAACAGGAAATACAAAATATTGGTTTTGGCACTGTTCAAATGGCATGCAATGCCCAATTTTCACACTTGTGCTCTGTACGGGTGATGTGACATCCCCATGTGCTTAGACCTTAGGACGTGATAGTCTTGTTTTCTTTGGTTATTTTACTCAACATGTTTCTGTCTTGTTGGGGACCCGTGACTTACACAGAGGCAGAAGGCATTCCAAAATGGGATGGTTATAGTGCAACTTGAGCAGATTCACAGAAGTACCCAGATCAAACTGCTGGCTCTAAACCAGTTCTCATTTGTAGACGGGAGTCAGCTGCACATCTGCTGCCACAGAACTCCTCTCAATTCAAATTATATGACTTGCTTCTGTCCTGGCAAGGGGGCAAATAAACTCCTGTATCTAAAGACTGTACACTTTCTGGGAAGGTCAGAGCAAAAGCGTGCCCAAAGGATTAGCTGTCATCATTGAAACAAAAGTCAGGTTTCTGTACTTAGTGATCCCAGGGGTGGTGGATTAATCTTGGTTAGCCTCCAGGCACCACCAAGCCACTCTATCACCCCTCCTCAGTGAGCAGTGCCAGCACTGCTTAGCAGTAGCCAGAATGTCGCTCTAGCTACCAATACAAAGCACAGCACTATGAGGCCTGCTGTGGGGAAAGTTCATCGCATCCCAGTCAGACCCAATACACCTCAAAGTAACATAATGGTTGTTTTGTTTATCCTGAAATTTTAAATGACTTTTGAGTATTCAGATCGTTTATCTGAAAACAGAAGGAAGGGGGGGTGTGGGGGGGTGTGATGAGTTTTTTGTGCTCCTAGTGAGCAATCTGTCCTCTTAAATGCGGGAAAGAGTGAGTTAGAATGGAATGTTCCTAGCCCTTCACGCTGTGTTTGGCATTCCCTATTTACAGCATTTTAGCTCTACAAATAAAATTTGACCTTGAACTACTATGAAGTATTCTAAGTTAGAAATTGTGATACTTCAAAACATTAGGATGTCAGACATGGTAACTTTGTATTAGAAATATGTAGTTTAAAAATATGATCTCTGGAATGGCAGCTCAATAGCATGGCTGATTTTGCTTCATTTATGTGACTTCAGTTTTACAAAGATAATATCCAAGATCAGAATTCAGTCGTGTGTCTGCTGAGAGGAACCACAAGCATACTTCTATCTAATGATTAGAGGATATTCCTAATGACCTTTGAAGAGCTGTTGTAATTTGACAGCAGGAAATCATTCTGGCTTTTATATTGTAAATATGTAAAATATTTGGCAAATATTTTACAGCAGGCGTTCAAGTGGTTTCCTTAGCAACCACTCTTCATAAGAGGTCGACACACGCTATTAAGTATCGTGCTGGGTTCAGGTCATCTTTGCAATATTAAAGACACTTGTTTAAAACCCTGCCAAGTCATGTGCAGTTCCTCACTGTACGACAGCCCTGCAGGGCAGAGGGAAGCTCACTGCCTGCCAGACTCTTTTCTAGCCAAGCAAGGACACACCTCTTGATGGTGAGCTAGCATAGGCGCCCTGATGGGTGGAGGAACTGGCCCCGGTCGCTATTGGCTGCTCTCTCATCCAGCAACTGTGAGGAACAGCGATTTTATTTTCTCGTTCATCTACCTCTCCATCTCTTGCCCTAAGAAAAGGCTAGTGACTTGTGATTCCCTTTTAAAAAGGTATCAAGTGCAGCTCTTAACTATGCAGAGGTCACATTTTTTTTTTTTTTTTATCTCAAGTGAATGAGGCATCAGACAATTTATTCTTCAATCCCATATTCAGTGTTTATGATAAGCAGGGTTAATGGTGGAGAATCTGGGAGGTGTCATTAATATAAAGAAGCACCTCTTCTGCTCTCCTCCAAAGCTTTACAGTTAGTTATTCTGGTTTGGATTGCCTCCCCTACTTGCTATAGGTATCTGGGATTTAAGACAGCTTTAGCGGAACTGATCTGAAAATCTTAAAGGAAACAAATGCTGCTCAGGACAAATGTATTCAGTGGTGATCCTAATGGAGGACATTTGCCTGGTGTTTGTTATCGGCCCTGTGAGAGCCTGATTGGATGGATGCCCCAGCAGTGCTGGAGTCTCTGCTGACAGACCTCTCTCTGTTTCTGGCTGGAAGGTCAGAGCTTGCTCCTGCTGCCATATGGTAAGAAGGAATAAGAGTCATTTTCTCCTGATGACGTCTCACTTGGTATGATGATATACCAAGGTCTTTGTTACCTTGGTATGTGGTTGCTTCAAAGCCTCTGTGAGGATTCTCTCTAGAACATCAGAGGCACAGAGGCAGACCTAGCATAGCAAGTGCAAGCTGCCTCCTATGCCCTCAGCACATACAGTGCTGAGTAAAGTGAGTTCTTTAGCTCTAGCCTGACACTCTGGAGGTCTGGGTTTCTGCATGTAGTGGGAAATGCCAAGTCTTACTGATAGACTCTTAAATGAACTAATTAGGGTGTTGATGTAAGAGACAGGCAGCTTTTATGGCTTCTCTGCCTGATCTAAAATTGGAGCAGGTATTCAAGGGGGAAGAAGAGGGAGTGGGACTGCCAGTGCCCACATCTTTGGCAGTCACTGCATTGTTAATCTGAAATAGCCCATGTTTGTTGACCTTCAAGGCTGGGCTATGGTGGCTTTTTTTGGGTGACTTGGAAAACAGAGTGATAAAGTGAGGTAATCCCTGGAGTGAGGAATCCCTGGAGCATCCTTTAGGAGTTAGGGTATTCTGAGAAAAGAATCATGGAATGGGTTCGGTTGGAAGGGAGCTTAATGATCATCTAGTTCCAAGCCCCTGCCATGGGCAGGGACACCTTCCACTAGACCAGGTTGCTCAAAGTCACTGATAGTTGTATTTATTTAGATAAGCTTGCTCTGTAGAACTATCTTCTTGCTTGGCCATGCTTTTCTTTCTGTAACTCTCAAGAGAAAGGCTTTTCTAGAACTTACACAGGAAAAGAGAGCGCTTTTTGAGAGTGGTTGCTCCTTTGTATTTGTGGTTTTGAAGGCAGAAAGCAGAAATTTCTGAAGGTAGAAATCATGCAGAAGTCAGCTCATGTATGACCCAGTCTGTGCCATTATTGTCATTCACAGCAGTTTCTATTCCCTGTTGATGCTGTGCTTATCTTTTCTTAGTTGTTGTTAATACAACCACTGACTACTAAGACAGAAAGGGTTACTGCTTCATCCTAAGAGCAGATAGGATCAATAGCATAATAAGCATTAAGCATTATAAATCCATGCCTCTTTTTTAAGACAAAAACCAAGGCAATACTCAAGTTAAAAACATGTTTGTAAAAACCCAAAAAGCTCAGAGCCCACGTGCAAAGTGAAATCCTGTAGCATCATTTTGTAATGTAGAAGAGTTCATGAAATCTTGTGTTTACAAGTGAACCTCTCAGCTTGCAGAGTGACACAAAGCATACAGAAACTTCCGAGAACCTTTGTTGACTTAGTGGGACTGCATTGGGTCCACAGGAAGATGTTTGTGTTCAAAATCATGTCTGGCATTGAACAAAAGCTTCAGCAGTGTGTAATCTTTGGTTTTGGCAGGAGAATGTCACGTAGACACACCGTGTGTAAGTCATGTACCACCACACTCTATGTGCAATCTTCGCCTATTTTGCCATCTACCTTCTGTACAGGCCCACTACAGTTAATCTAGAGTGCAGCACAGTTGCTGTGATCCTGCACTTGCAGACTGTCTGCTGCTGACCTCTTCTGCCATTTTTGGTTACTTTAAAACTCAGATCAGTTTAGTGCATGAATTACTACCCTTGGAGGACAGTGTGGATGGCAGGGACAAACAGCTGGATGCACATAGAAAAAGGATGTGAGAACAACCAGAACTGATTCTACTGCTGAGAGAATATTTATGGGGAATTGCACTTTTTACTGTTTAAGGTAAGATGCAGAAACTGGTTATTTTGCCAGTTCAGTTGCAATTTTGAGTTCTTTTTCTAGGATATCAGAGGTGTGAAGCATTAACTTAAAGCTCTTTCAGTGAGATGACCCAATCCTGTGGCTGAGTCCTTGCTTTATTTCATAGTCATGGCATGAATCTTTGCTTTTCATCTGAGAAGTGGCAGCAAGAAGACCTCTCAGCACCAGAGGGAGTGTTGCAAGGGTGATCACAGGAACAGTTGTGATGAGTTCAGCAGAGGCTGGACTAGCTTCTAGGCTAGCTGCCAAGTGGGGTACCAGTACATGAACAGGGTAATGCTGAGCAGCCAGCTTGTTGCTGCATTGCACATAACTCCATATATTGTCAATATTGTGTATAGCAAATATGAAGCTTTGCAGAATGTGAGGGCTCCTTCTTTACCATTGTATGTTTCCTTCAAGAACTGAGGAGAATTCTGGGATTGCCCTGTGTAATATGTACAGCTGCACTCTTTTGGGTTGCTGGGATCCTTCCCTGGTGCACAGTGACACAAAAGTGCCTCAGCCTTCTCCAACTGCAGCCAGCCAGACATCACTTTCCTGTTAGAAAGGCATAGTATTGCATGATAAAACAAACACAAAAAAGACAAAAAGGAGCTGCTCTCATCCTCATGTATGACACTGAGAAGGTATTAGCTTGGGATTTATCCAAGTGGCCTTCCATGCACCGCTGGACAGCGGTGTTCTAGGTCTTCAAGGTGGTACGGTAGTTGTGGTAGTAACAATGGTTTATGGGCAAATAAATTCCTGAAAATGTTTTGAAGCTGGGAGAATTTGCTGATGGCTACTCCAAGGCATCAACCCATGCAGTTAGTTACTTTACTAAGGAAACATTTCACTGTTTTCAGAAGATGAGTTTCATCTTCAAAATATCTCTTCAGCTTCAGGTTCAAATCCCCCACTAATGCAGGAGAGCACACATCTCAGCTGAAATGAACAGGACTCCATCCCCTTCCCTCTTCAGTAAATTAATACTGCTTATCCCTTTTCACCTGATCTGTTCAGCACAAAGAGTCAAATTATACTGTCAGCATTTGAAGAAAAAGGCCTGTTTAGTTTTCAAGGCAACAAAATACAGGGAGAGGAAAGAGGTATTTGTGTTTAGCTTCCTTCAATGAGTGGTTACACTGTTAAATGTCATGCTGTGCTTACTCTGCTTGCATCTACTCACCTGAGCAGGATCAACTATCTAGGATGATAGTTTTATCTGGATATTTTCAAGACCAAGTTGGAGGGTAATTCAGAAGCCAGTTTTGAAAACAGTCGCGCATCCGATAATATGACAACAAAAAAGAAGAATGGCTCCTTAATTCTTTGCTCTACTGTGACAAGAGCTTAGCTGGTTTTTGCATCTAGCTAACGGAATGCTAATTTCAAGGAGGTAAGCATATCCTGATTCAGTTTGTCACCTACCTGTATTCTAAACCTGGGCAAGCCTGGCTCAGTATCACGCAACACCAACTGGTATTGAGGTGAATACCAACACACTAGAGGTTATTTGGTTGGGAAAATGTGGGTAAACAGCAGTGTTCCCTCATGGATTCTCACAGGTCTTAACTCCATGCGCTTTGGGTCTCTGCTGCTGGAGGCCCTTGTGAGCTGTTCAGCCCATCTGTCTTCACCTTCCAGGTCAGTCATTTTGTGCAGTTGCATCTGCATGTGATTATGTTCTTTCTCTCATTTGGGGTTTCAGGTTGCCCCCAGCCTGTATTTAAGTTCTCACCTGTTTCTACACCACTGTGAAACAGCTGTTTTTCTAGTACAGCTCAATCCATGTATTGAAATAAGCAGTGTTTTATGCTTGGTTCCACAAAATAAGAAAATGCATGAATGGGTTGGCCCACATTCAGGTAAGATCTTGGAAAGGTGGAGGACACATGGAAGTGCAACCATTCTTTAGGGAAACACAGTAGTCAGGCACACCCAGGTAGGTATAGCTGGACTGAGTTCCCTCCTACACAGAGCAGAGTGTGTTGCCATGCCTCTGCCTTCACCACCATTGTTTGAGGATTTAGAAGGTCTGTTTTTAAACAGCTTTAAAAACAAACAAAAAAATATGTATACATGCTGTTTTTGTCTTAAGAGCTGTGAATCCTAAATCACAGTGGGATCAGTGAATGAGATGCTAGAGTGTATCGTTTACAATATGCTGCTTTAGGTCTCAGCTGAAACTGCAGAGCTGAAGCGGACTCTGGGCAGCTGAGAAGGAGACCTGGATGTTCCTGAAGACATCTCTGCAGGGGCTGGTAACCAGTAATCCAGGCACACAGGAGACATGGACCCTGGGTCTTCATTTCAGGGGAGCCAAGACCAGAAGACCAGTTATTAGGGTCACCATTAATACCCTTATTTAATACCCTTAACTTACCTGACGCAAGTTGAGTCGTTCTGCAAGATTTATACCTCCTGCTCTCCACAGGCACCTCTTGCCTCTTTTTGCTTGGCCTCTGCACAGTCTGAGGCCTTTACTTACCACAGCAATCACAATGTACCTGTTTCTGTTCAGCATGCTACTGTGTGAGCCTTTGTAAAAGCAGAACTTTTAAGGTGTCTTTTAACTAACTCAGTTTAAACGGCACATATTAAACATTGCTTATCATTTACTGACCACATAGGAACACTCAACATTTGCACAAACTACATTAAAAATATTTGACAAAGTCATACAAAATATTATTCTTATTTCTTACTGGAATTTCTAAAACATCTGACTAGAAACAACATCAGGGAGATGGAAATCAACAGGACTCCTACAAGCCATGCATAATAAAATGTTACTTCATGCAGACCATATGATACATTTTTCTTTTAGTGAATGCTTTGATGCTGGAATAAAGAAAAGGCAGAGTCCCCAGTAGAACTCAATATATGTCATCATCAGCAAACTTAATTGTTTGTCTCAAAGGCCAAGGTAATGCACTTAAGTAATTCTGTAGTGCAGCAAAGCTGGATTTCACAGACCTCAGTCTATGACAGTAAGAAATCAGTAAGCTGGATTTGCCCAGTTCCTTCTTGCACACTTTCCCAACATATATAAATCAGGGAGGAGTAGGTATCTGTTACAGGCAAACAATCCAGCTGACAGGACAAACCTTCAGATGCAATAAGCAGCTGTAATACATCTGATAGCTTTATATCTGTGCATACATCTACACAATAATAAGAAACAAATTCAAATGAATTTAATATCCAGCGAAAGCACAAGCACCTTCAACAAATTTTTACAACATTCCTTTCAAGGAGTCATCCATTTACCGGAATTCAATTGTGACTTATTCTCTGACAAGATAGTTGGGGTTGTTCAGCCTGGAGAAGAGAAGGCTCCAGGGACACATAGCAGCCTTCCAATACCTAAAGCAGGCATACAAGAAATCTGAAAGACTTTTTACAAGGGCACATAGTGACAGGACAAGGGGGAATGGCTTTAAACTGAAAGTTGGTAGATTTAGATTAGATATGAGGAAGAAATTCTTTACTGTGAGGGTGGTGAGGCACTGGAACAGGTTGCCCAGAGAAGTTGTGGCTGCCCCATCCTTGGAAGTGTTCAAGGCCAGGTTAGACAGGGCTTTGGGCAGCATGGTCCAGTGGAAGCTGTCCCTGGCTATGGCAGGGGGGTTAAACTAAATTATCTTTAAGGTCCCTTCCAACCCAAACTGTTATATGATTCTATGAAATCTAAAAGAGCATATTCCAGAAAGATGCAATGCTAGTAAACTGGAGAAAAGAAAACAGGAAAACTGTTACGGTTTAAGCCCAGATGGTAACTCAGAACCACGCATCCACTTGCTCACTCTTCAACTTCTTCCCTCCCCCCTATTCCTGGAGGGTTGGGGAAGAGAATCATAAGAATATAAATCCCACGGGTTGAGAGAAGAACAGTCCAGTAAATAAGGCATAATATAAAGTACAATAATAATAATGGCAAGGGAAATAACAAGTGGAGAGAATATGAAACTAAAAGGGGAGAGGAAAAACAATAAACACAAGTGATGCACAATACAACTGCTCACCAGCTGCCGACTGATACCCAGCCTGACCCGAGAGTGATCTGGGCGTTCTGGGTAACACCCCCCAGTTTATATGCTGGGCATGACATGCTGTGGTATGGAATACCCCTTTGGCTAATTTGGGTCAGGTGTCCTGTCTCTTCTTCCTCCCAGCTTCTCTTGCCCCTCCTCAATGGCAGAGCATGAGAGACTGAAAGGTCCTTGATCAGAGTAAGCATTACTTAGCAACAACTAAAAACATCAGCGTGTTATCAGAACTCTTCTCAAACTAAAGTCAAAAACGCAGCACTGCACCAGCTACTAAGAAGGAGAAAAATAACAGTTACAGCTGAACCCATGACAGAAACATAACCTCCAGCAACATTTTATGATGGTGATTTGTAAGCTGGTGTTTTGATTTTTATCTCAATAAAGATAAAATTGCCCAACACCAAAAGAACCTGCCTGTCATGCTGTGCAGGTGTTCATTTAGAATGAGTAAATTGCCGTGAAGATTTTCAGGTAACTTACCCATTTGGTTTTATTTGCAAGCTTGATGGGTGAAAATGGTGCCTGTTGGTTATTATGTTGTGCCTCTTCTTGGGTGCTAAAGGAGAGTAGGTTTGGTTAGGACATTGTGGTTAGGGGACCTCCTTGCACCATTTACTCAAGAACTGGGGCCTTTCATAGAACCAGGCGAAGAATTACAAATGCAGGATGCATGGTGGCGTTGAGTCAGCTTTTCATCATGTGCCTCTCATTCAGCAAGAGCTCTCTGGCTAGTCTGAAGGTTGGTCCACTCATTGGCACTTCACCAAAAATGAGACTGCAAGATTTACCTGCACTCTGAGGGCAAAGCAGTGCTACAGGCACCCTTTGGACAGCAGCAGCTCACTGTTCACCTCTTTAAATATGCTGCAAGCAAAATCACAGTTTATGGGAAGTATTTTATGGGAAGAGTTTGAAGACAGAAGTGCCTTGACAAGGAAGAAAGCAAAAACCACCCAAAGGCCAGACGAAGAGGTATCTGACTATTTGCATATCTCGGGCAATAGCAAAAGCTGGGGGTGAGATGGCAGATGGGCTGCAAATTTATTGTAATGTCCTTTCCCTGAATCATCACATGGCAACAATCTGCCACCCCGCCAAGCTATCCTTCATTCTGCCCTTTTCTGTATAGAGGAGTCATCATTGCTCCATTGGAAACACAGTATTCTTGTAAATGCATTACTCACTGACAAGATTACTTCTGTGTCTTGCTGCTAGTCATCAGGACCAGCTCTGAAAACAACAGGTCTAAGACATGTCCCTGCTCATCTGCCTGCCGTGTTCCTAGCAAGAATCCAAAGGGCACACTAAATATAACCTCAACCCTGCTACAGAAATAAGTCATGTAACATGACCTGCATGTCTGTTAAGTAAGTTGCATTGCAATTTCTATTGCACTGATTCATATTAAAAAGTATTCTCCTTTTATTTGAAAAGACTCTGAATGCAAACTCATGAAGAAAAAGAGCACAAGGCACAAGTACTGGCCAAGTCCTGCTGAAGCTCTCTGCAGCCCATGGGAGATAGATAAGATCTATGCTGTTGCGTCCCATGCCTCACCAGGGCTGTGGTTTCCTCTCCCCAGCAGCTCTCATAGAATTCAGCTATATAGTGCCACAGGAGACAACAGCTGGAAATCCCATATTTAATTGCCCTGCTCCAGTTTGGTCTCTGAGGGAAACCCCCAGGGTGGTGATGGATGCCTGCTGCCCACGGGCAGGAGCAGTTCAGGTATCTGCAGATATCCTGCAGATATCCTCCTCTCAGACAACTAACCTACCTAACAACTCTACCTCAGCAAAACTTATGCTTCAGGTGACCATCTGTGCAAGAGCAATCACCAAACTTTGCTACTGCCTCAAGCAAGGTGGCTTCACCAGAGACTGTAAGAAGCAAAGGTGTTCCTGTCCAATGTGGCACCCAAATACAGTTGGCAAGCTGCTTCACACCACCCAGCCTGGGACACCCTCAAGTGTGTGCTACATGAACAGACAGACCAAGTCAGGTAGCAAAACACATGAGGTTGGCTCAAGGTTTGCTGAAAAATCCTGCGTGAGCCATGTCCAAAAGGGATCCCTCAGAGCATACAGACCCAAGGGAGTCAGAAACTCCCTGCTCACTCTTCTCTTGTGTGAGTTGATTTTTTTGAGGTGCTCAGATATGTTTTTACTTCCCTGGATTTCCTGTGTGAAGGGAAGATGACTGTCATTCCTGAGCATATGAACATCTACATGACGTACCTTCACCACCAGTTTCTGCACCCGGGCAGCAGTATCTTTCCACAGTGCAGCAGCCCAGATGGGTTTACCTCTGCATTGCCGGTTGCTCTGCTTCCATTGCTTCAACCACCCCCACAGGGCATTTGCCACCATCCATGAGTCAGTATAGAGATAAAGTGCTGGCCACTTTTCTTGTTCAGCAATGTCCAGGGCCAGCTGGATGGCTTCCACCTCGGCAAACTGACTCGATTCACCCTCTCCTTCAGCAGTTGCTGCAACTTGTCACTGGGGACTCCATACAGCTGCCTTCCATCTCCGATGCTTTCCCACAATACAGCAAGACCCATCAGTAAACAAGGCATACTGCTTTTCATTTTCTGACAGTTTATTGTATGGTGTGGGGCCTCTTCAGCACGCACCGCCTCCTCCTCTGGTGACATTCCAAAATCTTTGCCCTCTGGCCAGTCCGTGATGACTTCCAGAATGCCTGGACGACTGAGATTTCCTATTCGAGTTCGTTGTGTAATTAGTGCAGCCCATTTACTCCATGTAGCATCAGTTGTATGATGTGTAGAGGAGCCCCTGCCTTTGAACATCCAGCCCAGCACGGGCAACCGGGGTGCCAGGAGGAGCTGTGCTTCAGTGCCAATCACTTCTGAAGCAGCTCGAACCCCTTCATAGGCTGCCAGTATCTCTTTCTCAGTTAGGGTATAGCTGGCCTCAGATCCTCTGTATCCCCGACTCCAAAAGCCGAGGGGTCGACCTCGAGTCTCCCCTGGAGCTTTCTGCCAGAGGCTCCAGGTAAGACCATTCTCCCCAGCTCTGGTGTACAGCACATTTTTCGCATCTTGCCCTGCCTGGACTGTCCCCCAGGCTACTGCATGAACTATCTCCTGCTCTTGTGATGGCCCTACTCCATCCTTCTTCACTAAATGAGCTGTCTTTCACCTCCATTTGTTCTTGTGTACAGGGGCAACTGATAACAGTGTGGGTTGGTTCTGGTTCCACTGCAGTGCCTGTCCCTGGGGTTGGAGTAGCAGCAGTGTCTGTTGTTTTGTTATGAGGTCCAGAGACCTTCTCTTCCCCTTAAGGGTACTGGATAGTATTAAACATGTTGGTAAGCATGTCAGGCCCCAGCATGTTGCAGTGATTTGTGTCTCTCTGTAATTGGTGAGGTGACAGCATACTTTTCCGAAATATTTCACTATTTTTTCCAGGTTCTGCACTTGTTCAGGGGTGCAGTTCCAAACCCTTGGAGGTGCCCACTGGCCTAGGTACTTGCCCATACTATCCACACACCCTGCCACTCATGAACATCCAACCTTGGAGAAGATGTCTTGGTGGTCTTCTAAGATAGTTGTTTAACCTTAAACAAGACCTGAACCATATGCAGCAACATGCTGGTTCCTAGCAAAAGGACCAGGCTGATTTCAATGATACTCAAAGGATATTAAAAATCTTAAAAATTCCCAAATTCTGCTGTAATCAGCCTGGAGGAGAAGGAAGATGTTGGAAGGAGGGAGGGAAGGAAGGAAGAAAGCTGTAAGAAGATGTGTCCCCCTGGAGTTGGCTTTCTGAGAAGAAAAGGCAAAAGGTGTAATTATTAATAGTTCCCAATACATTATGTCTGAAGAATATAGGTGACGGCAATGCTGAGTACACATAACACACTAGTTTCACGACCAGCAGTTCTATCATATCATAAGCCAATACTGTGAAGTACAACAAAACAATGATCTTAGCCCAGGCCCCACGGAGAAAAACCATCACCGCAGTGAACACACACTGTAAGATATTATGCAACACAGCCCTGAGAACAAGCACAACTCCAAGAGTCCATAAACCAACATTGCGACCAGCAACTTTTAAACCAATGCAATGAATGCTTACAACGAATTTGTATTTACACCCTTTGGCTGGACCTATTATTATCTTAACTCTTTGTGCCTCACAGTGAGCACCAAATAGAACTGTGTCAAACCCCAGCTGATAATTAAATGCCACACAGCCGCTTGCTCACTCCCTTACCCCCATGGTGGGATGGGGAGGAGAATGGGAAAAAAGGTAAAATCTCATGGGTTGAGATAAGAATAACTTTAGTAATAAAGTAAAATATAATAATAATATAAATATTAATAATAATATTAGGAAATAAAGAAAGAGAGGAATAAACCCCCCAAGAAAGACAAGTCATTCACAGTAAAATTGCTCACCACCTGCTGACTGATGCCAAGGCCAACCCCAAGCAGTTACTGGCTCCTCCTGGCCAACTCCCCCAGTTTCTATGCTGAACATGTTGCGCTGTGGTATGGAATACCCCTTTGGCTAGTTCAGGCCAGGTGTCCTGTCTCTGCTTCCTCCTAGCTTCTTGTGCCTCTCCCTCACTGGCAGAGCTTGACAGACTGAAAAGTCCTCAGGGGTAACTGTTACTTAGCAATAACTAAAACATTGGTGAGTTATCAGCATGGTTCTCAGACTAAAGCCAAACACAGCCCTGCACCAGTGTGGAGACAGTGTTCTCACAGGAGAATGGATAATTGGTACATAAACTCTGAATAATCCTGAAAGATACAGCAAGGCCATGAGAGGCCAGAGGAAGCCTAAACAAGCAAGATAAGAAGCTGGATTTCACCAAGTTAATGAGAACTGTGGACTGTTGGCAAGCTTTCGAGGCCAAGTGCTCACACCTGTGCTTAACCAATTATATGTTAGTCACTAAGGGTCTTCAAGACATGTATCCAATCATAATGTGCCAAATCACTGTAAGTGCATGTAAGAAACAGTATTTAAGGGGTTAAGGCTTTGTAATAAACGGCTTTTGTCTGATCATATTGATCTCTGACTGAGTCCATATATTTTCTGCGGCACACCAGCTACTAGGAAGAAAATTAACTTACATTTTTACTTCCTTAGGTTTCCTGTGTGAAGGGAAGATGTTGGGCATTTACTGATATTGCTGGCTACTGCTACCCTGAACTGAGATTCATTTTGTGATCAGTTTTGGAAGCCTGAGGATGAGAGGAGTTGTGCATTGATCTGCTCCTGTTGCTTTACAGGCACAGCAGAAAGATCACTGACATTCAGCAGCGGTGCCTTTTGGTGGCGCCAGAGCCTCGGACCACAGCCTGGGTAAACGTCAGCCCAGTCAGGGTGTCATTTGCCTTTAGGTTCAGCTTCTTACAGAAGATGATTACTTGTCTAGTGCTCGAAACCAAGATTCTTCTCTGGGATATTTTGATGTAAATGTTTGACTTTATAGGAGTCCATTATTGTTCTCCTCCTGTAGCAAACCCTAAACATCATAGCAGTAATGAGCTTTTCATACTAAAATCTCTCTGGCAGATAGGTTGGGAAGGAAGGGGTATGTGACCTGTGCGTGCTGAGATGGTGTGTTGTGTTACATGCTCCTGAGCTTCTCACTTGTTTTGTGTTTCACAGATTACAGACGCATGCCAGTATTTCTCTGCCTCTTCAGGAAGAAATTGGATGTCTTTTTCAATGAGAAATGTTAATCAGATAGAAATTACTGGGCTCACTACAGCAGGCAAATAGTTCAAACCTGTGTTCTGTATCATGCAGGAGTTTTGGGACCACGCTGAACCCATGAATATCCAGAGACGGACCCCACTTCCTAGTCCAACAGTGGCTTCTGTTGAACTGCAACTTGGTAACGAAGGAGGAAAAACAGCACTCGCAGCACTCGCCATGTTCTTAGTTGGGAAACTTACTCCTGGTCTATATTTCTTGCTGTGTTTTCAGTGTTAGGCCTCATGCCCTGCGTTAAGCCAAATGAACAACTTAGTGCTGTGCAATGCCCCATGGAGAAAAGTACTGCTTTCATGTGACAGATGCAAACTACTGTGCTGGGGAGTGGCAGGCTGATGTTGAGTCGACTAGCCTTTGCAGCATTACAAAGCCATGCTGAGCAAATAAAAACATCAGTCGAGCTACTTTTGAAGCAGGGTTGGCAGCTTGGGCATTTCTGTATCGCACGAGCTCTTGACTCGTGGGCTAGCAGTTCTTCTGGAACTTCCCTGTCAGGGCCTCTGAGACTGATGTAGACTGATAGCACACAGTCATCAAGCAGATCTGCTGAGAAAGGGGAGAGTTGCACACCAACTGGTGATTTCTGACTAGATTGCACTCATTCTGTAGAAAACAGTCCAGGGAAAGACATGCCGACACCATCATGTTTCCAGGTGAATGTCTCCATAGGGGTGGACAGGGCTAGCTCTTCATCTTGAGACTAAAAAGATGTCCTGTCCTGAAAAAATTACTGTCTCATTCTATACAGAAGTGCTGAGATAGACTGTTATGGGTCATTAATACATACCTACCTGCCATTGTTATTTGAAGAATATCAAGTCATGCAGGTACCTACCACCTGTAGTTATTTTGTTTTTTTTTTTTTAATTGTATTTTATTTATTAATTAGGTTGGAAAAGCTTTCCTTCTCTGGACAGCAGGCCCAAAGCCACCCTCACAGACACTAGGAGACTGGAATACCATGCCAGCTGCTGGAGATGCACGTTTGACCCAGAAGTATAGATGCCTGTATTATACCCAGCACTAGCAAGTATACCAGTTTGAGGACAGGGGAGTGCAGTATGCTGTATCACCTGGGAAGAAGCTACTTGAAGGTCAGTTACTGCACAGCAACCTCTGCATGCAGGCTTTCTGGTCCATGGGGGGCACATGGAGGGTCTGTATCCCAACACAGCTGACTCACAAAGACAACAGAGCTGCGGTAAGTTCAGAAAAATTGCTTGCACTACCCCCTGTATGGAACAAAGGTGGAGAATGAGACTCCCCTGCAAGGAAAGTGACAGGACAGAAACAACACCGTAGCGAGTGCTCCTGCAGTATTGTGATGTGCTTCTGTAACAAGCAGCAGTTTATAAAGCACTGATTAATCTAGTAGAAGCAGGATTTTTTCAACACCTTAGATGGGGAAAGGGACTAAGACTGTAATTGTAAATTGAGTTAAATAGTTACTATGGAAGAACTGCCTTTAGTGCTGTAACACTTGTCTGCCTTGCTTAGGTATTCTGAAGGGAAAATAAATAGCTGAGATGCCGCTTTTCTGCAGTGCCTCCCAAGTACATCAGAGCAAGCTGTCTCAGCAATTTATTAACATAGAACCAAAAGCAACACTACAAGAGACCAGGTTGCATTTATTTCCCTTAATGCTGTTCAGCAAAGCTACCTGTCGTGTACCTGAGCGACATGACCATTGTGAAACCTGTAAGTTAAGTTCTTTTGCCTCCTGCCTTAGCATCGTGAAAGTTTTTAGGGCCCGAAGGAGGTGATGAACAGCATCAATCGACATTTAGTGTCTTGTGGCGTGGTGCCAGAATGGGCTGTATGTGTCAGTTTGAATCAGTAACGCCCTTTCCCAAGCCAGAATAGTGTCGGACAATCTAGCGACTGTTGGAGTTTAAATTGTGGGAATTAAACTTGCTAATTACCGTGTCCGGTTTCCAGTACCCGCCTTCCCATGGGGAGTGGGGGTGGGAACGGGTACGATCTGCCGCGCAGCAAGGACAGTCCCACCTCCCAGCGCCGCCTGGCCCCTGGCAGGGGCGGAGCGGTCCCCGGACCGCGAGCGTCCCGCGGGTCAGGCCCGGAGGCTCGGGCGGCCATGCTAGCAGCGGGGCGCGCCGGGAGATGTAGTTCTGCGGCACACGGCTGCCGGGTGGCCGCCCTGGTCCGGGCCGCCTGCAGCACCGCACCACCGCGGTCTGGTACCACCGTGGCCCGCGGGGCACTTGTGCTGCCGGTCCCGTACCGGTTTCCTCCAGCCTGCCCGGCTGCACGCCGACCAACAGCAGCGCGCTCACCCCACGAGAGCGGATGCGTAGCAGCGCGCACCTCCTCCGTTCCGCCGGCTGCCCGCGGTACTGCAGCGCTGGGGGGGAGGCTCTCAGCCGGGTGCTCCCTGCCGCCGCCTGGCGGCCGAAACGCGGCATTTGCAGCGTCAGACCCTCACAGGGTGCCGCCGCCTCGTGGCGGAACAGCGGCACTGCGGCAGTGAATTTCTCGGGCTGCGCCCCCTCGTCTTCTGATCCCTATCCCGAAGTTATCTCATAGCATCACAGAATCGTCTAGGTTGAAAAGACCCTTAAGATCATGGATTCCAACTGTTAACCTAGCACTGCCAAGCCCTGGCTCAAGGCCCCCCGTAATCCTTCTCTTATCCAGGCTAAACAACCCCATTTCCTTCAGTTGTGTCTAAATTCCATTTGGAGTAACATCAGTCAACAGTTCAGGTGTAATTTAGGCAGAAAAACTCAGGCCCACTGCTTTGCCAGGCAGCATCCATTCTTGGTGAGTGCTTTAGCCTATTTAATGTTCTGCGTTTGATTTTGTTTCCAATTTGCATTATTTAATTAGCTCAAAGTATTAATACTACCACAGTGTTAAATCTAGATGTAGGCAGCTTGTGCCTCATTGACAGTATTTTCCCTAGAACCCTGGCTCACATGACAGAGAGCTTCCTTGTTGTTCTATTCCCTAGTTTTCTTCCTTTGTGGGTCCTCATTAATTAAAAATACTTTGAATAGTTTGAATCCCACAGTAGCAAAACAGTATAGCATAACACACAAATAATGAAGAGAAAAAGTTCTGCTAGCACGAATCACCTCCCAGTGCTCATAGAACAGGGTAGCACATGGCATTTCCAGCCCCACTCGCATCTTAGCTTACTTGCTGCAGTACTAGCCTTTTGCTGCAGCTCTGCCCCTGCCCCAGCAGTGGAGAATGGACAGGGAATGCCAAGGGGCCGTATCTGCCCTCTCTCTGGAAAAATCACCTTTCATTTCCTCTGCTGCTTCTTTGGGGGTGGATTGGAGAGGTTCTGCACAGGCAGAGCAAAGGTACTGCGAGTACCATGGTTGGAGGGTTCTAAAGAGCAGAGAGCTGTTTAGACAAAAATCACGGTCTCTTAATAATAGTGAAATTAAATCTGGTCTCTGTAGGAAATAGAGACCAGATGTTGTATGCTGCCTTTTAATAGTTCTGCAAATTAAACAGGGTAAGGGAACAGATAGTGCCTGCACTCTATACTTTTCCACCCTTTTAAATTACACTTCAGTGGATTATTCAGATTTATCTGGTTTAGGACATTTCTATGTAAAGTATGTGCATTGCAAAAAATCTACTCTCTCTATTTTGGTTGGGATTTTTGGTTGGTTGGATTTTTTTTTTGCTAATTGTTTTTTGAGATTTTATTTGTGTCTTTCTCAGTTCCTTTATCCCCTCCCCCACCCCCACCCCCCACCCCCCAGCCCTGTGTTTGTAGAACAGTCTGAAATTTATCCATGAAACTGTTAATTTTCTGACTCTCATGAGTTTTTCTTAGACTGGGATATCATGTGGCTTTTTATACAAGCTTGTTTTATCTCATTTTTATGGTTTCCTTAAAGCTCTGCTTCTTCTAGAAAAGGCTATTTAGTGCCCTAGTGAGGTGACTGGGCATTTTTCTTATCAGTTATTTCCTACCAAATTTGCCTATGGTGCAGGTTAAAGTCTCTATCCCTCTACTGCCAACTCAGCAGTAGTTAATCATGCAATTTAGTCTGATGATAATTTATTCCAGCTAATGATGCATGAGATGTAAAAAGCCTAAAGGAGGAGTTCGGGGGACTGGAAGTCAGGAGGGAAAAACTTCCCAAACCAAACATTCCCACCTCTTTTCCTTGCAAACTCAGCATACCTTATGCTGAAACTACTGAGACACCATGGAGCCCTGCTTTTTTTTACGGTCTCTTGGTGGTGGAATCACACTTTAAATCATTCAGCAAAAGCATGACTTAGTTAACACTTCATTATGCCAGAAGCGTTCCACTATGCTGTAGTTGGCAGAAAAATCTGACTTTCCTCGTGCATTTTATCCATCACCCGCTTCAAATTAAGAAAATGTGACTTTCAAAGTTTTTGTCTAAAAGGCATATGGCTGAATGTCTACTTACCCAATCATCAGTTGTAGTAGGTGGATATATTAAAAATAAGAAAGATCAGATACCACATTTAAATTAAGATATTTCTATGCTTTCTCTTTTTTCCCTTCAGGACTAAATATTTCACTGTAAAGCATTATTTGAAGAGTAGCATGTTTCATCTCAAGGATCATGAATGTCTTGCAGTATAATTTTACAATGTGGCTAGTTAAATAACTTTAGCAAGTGGAGCACATGGTTATTTGCTCACATATGGGCTTTCAAATTCTGATCTTCAGACTAGCAGCTGTCTTCAGTATTATAGGAACAGTCGCATACGTGGTCCCAGGGCCAACTCATCCCTTTTACAACTTGCATAAAGGTGACGGGAGCCTCCAAATTGTTTGAGGGCAGCAAGGGGTATAGAAAATCTGGCAGTCAGAATCTTAGTGGAAAATTCTTTTTCAAGAAGCAGAAAATAGACTTATCACTAGAATAATACTATAACCAGCCTCAAATGACATTCACACTCTAGTAATGCTGAGATACAAGCCTCTAAAAAACCCAAAGTTACTAATGGTTATTTTCTACAGCTGAATCCCAAACCCTTTATTTGGTTGTTTGTTTTTTTTCCTCCTTTTTTAAGCAAAAATCCAATTTGCAGTATTGATAAATTCAAACAGTGAGGTTATATGCTGCTGAATTATAACATCTGTTTTAATTTTGTATCCTTTCAAGAGACAAACTTAAGCTGTAAAAGAGAGATCCTTCTGAAATGGATAAATATCCTCCCCATTCTACTGGAAGTAAAGAAAAGTGGGGGGAAACACCCACCCATGGCATTGCCATCAAAACCAGTCCAGCGGCACTACCAGAACATGTAAACCTTTTTCAACTAAATATGATGTTTTAACTAAAGATACCTCAGTGCATCTCAGTAGTCACGGGCTTACGCAGAAAGACTTCTCAAGCCTGGGCTCAAATTCATAATAATGGAATATCCTGACAAAGAAATTGCAGAAATACTTTACAGGAAGTATCATCAAGAAGTTAACTTGTCCACTTTGCTGTTATAAATATTTCTAGACCTGTTTATATATCTTATTCAATAAAGAGTGCAGTGAATGTGGTAGAAAATCCCTGCTGCTCTCATATCAGGCTAACACACAGGGGGCTTTTGCCTCTGATATGACTCATTTTTTTTATAACTACCTATGTTCAAAATGAGAAAATTTTCAACAATATCCTGAAGTACCTCTCATTTATAAACTATACACATAGAAAGAAGCAACTAAAAGGTAGTCTTTAGTTTATATTTTATTAGGAAAAAAAAAACAATTTTAGTCTAAATGAAATCTGTGTGTTAATTGATTATATCTTTAAAATCCTCATGACAATGCAGATTCTGCTTTGAAAACTGACATCTTCTCCAAGAAAGAAACCCACATAGTGGTACATGAATTTCACACAGTTTGAAAAGAAAAATCCCAGAGGACTAAGTTTAAATAAGGTTCAATTCATATGTCTCCATTAAAAATGCATGTAGCCTTTCTGCAGAGGTAGTAAAAACTCAGATGCACAGTGCCTTGAGCAAAGTGGTCTAGGTTGGCCTGTACAGCTTCAGATTCTGTGAAGAATATAGGGTCATTGAGTAACTGTAAGGACCTCAGGAGGTCACCTGCTTCAGCTTCCTGCTCAAGGCAGGGCTAGTTTCAAAGTTCAGTCTGGTTGCTTAGGGTCTTATGCACTCCAGTTTTGGAAATTTTCAAGGTAGGGGACTCCACAGCCTCTCTGGGCAACATAAAAGTGCGTAAGACCCAACTCTATCCTTGCATATGAAAAATACTTCTATTTCTACTTTGTAGCCCATCCCACTTCCAGCCCCGTGCACTTCCTTTTCATATTTGAACTTAGTTTGGAGTTTCCTGTTCAGCCAGTCTGGCCACCTGATACCTATGCCTGTTTTTCTGCAGTTTTGGATGGACTGTCTTTGTGCTGTCAGGAGGCTGGTCTTGAGGACTGACCAGCTGTCTGTGGCCCTCTGCCCCTCAGAGCACCTTCCCATGAGATCTTGTCTGCTAGGGGCCTCAACAAGCTCAAGTTCAGAGGTTTTAGCCTGCCACTGCTGCTTCTACACTCTGCTACTCCTACTACTAACTCCTTTCGCTTTTGAGATAAAAAATACTGTAAGGCAAGAGGCACTGAAGTAGATATCAAACTGTAAAACCACTCATTTTTTAAAACTACCAACATTGGATTAGAATTTTAGCTGTTGCATGATACTAACACCCAATTGCCTTCAGACTGTAAACATGGTATAAAGCCTACTCCTTATTTTTCAACATGCTGGGTTTTCTTCAAGGAGAGAAAAAGGTGATGGAACAGTTGCCACTCTATGCCTGTGACTATGATACCTGCGCTTATGAACTGGGAAAGAGGAAAAGGTGGCCAGCCAGATTCAGAAAGAAATTCCCCATTTGTCTGTCTCTGCGCTTGAGATAAAGCTGTGGGTATTTACTTTTTGTCTGATTATTTTTAGGCTGCCTTTGAATTTCTAGTACCCCGAGGTCTGTCAAGAGATGCGCTGGCCACTCCCTAGGTTGCAGTACTCCCCAGCTAGTTCTTTACCAGGCTCCTTCACAGCATTCTGTTGAGTACAGCAGATCTGTTTCCATCTTCCAAATGAAGCACGCAAAATTTGTTGTCTGCTTTTTATCATATGATACATCACAACAAAATTCCAGCGGCTTGCTTTTTTTTTAACGCATCTCTCCCTTCTCATATGATATAGACTTGCTTTTCCTCCTCTCTCCACTGGGGGTTTGTGTGTCACCTGTCTCTCCGGTTACCTCCAGAGAGGAAGGTTTCTAGAGGGAGGGTTTCACATATAATGTGAGGAGATCTGGTTCTCAAACCAAGTGGTCAGTACTCCCCTAAAAATAAATGTGCTGTCCATCACCATTGAAAAAAAATCTCCAGATACGTAGATTTTCTCATGTCAGGATCTGAGGACATATATTTTATTTCAAATAAAAGAAGAGTCAGGCAATAAAAAAAAGTAATTATCCAAATTCTGAAATTGTCAGTGATGGAACTGGCATTTTATCAAATATAACCTGTTTGGAACTTATCAGAGTGACTAGTAAAGCATTTAAAACATGCCCGGTATTTCAGCTATTCACTTAAGCTTTGGCTGCATGTTATAGAAGCCTTCCTGTTGTAGTTCTCAGGTATAGTGCAGTTATTTGAACTTACTCCTTGGGCAGTTCTTCAAAGGGTCAGTTTCCAGTAGTTTCCCCATTACTAGTAGAATGTGAAGGCACTGAAGAAATCCTGATTAAGATAGCTGACCACATTGCCTCAGAATTGATGCAAATTAACTGACTCTGCCTTCTGCAGAGCTGTCTTCACTTGCAAGAGAACTAAGCTCTAGGCCCTCTGATACAAGCAAAATGTCAGGGAGGAAGGGTCAGAGACAGACTTCAGAAAGTTCTGCTGAGGAGAATTGGTTATTTCAACTCTCCACTTTAAACTTCAACTCAGTAATGTTCTTCCCGAAGCTGTGGGTTTTCCATAGGGATCTCCCAGTTTCTTGAAGGAATAACCAGGCTTGAGAGGGAATGGTTGAAGGTGGTATAGCAACATGTCAAATCCCTTTTTTCCACCTTATAAATTCAACTACCTAGGAGGAAACCACCTCATGACTTGGAGTACTTTAGGACAAACATTAATAATAAATTCTAATTGGTCATTATTGCTTGAACAGAAAATATCAGATTTCATTTTCACCAGGAGGAAATGAAAATGTCATGTACTGTAATATGACAAGCATGGAATTTACAGTAGTGATATGTACTTGTAATTACCTTTATATGTGTAAATGCACACAAAGCAGAACACCAGGGAGGCCGTTTTACAACAGATTTAATCAAGAGAACATCTATGTCTCCTCATAAACTTACTTAACCAACTTTGAAAAAAGAATGGAGTTGATTAGACAGGTTAATGGGGTGATGTCTTTATAAATGACAGATGGCCACGCTAGAACAGAAAGTTGTTCACTCTCCATTTTTTATTTTATTTTCCTTATGAGACTATTTTACTATTTTTTTACTTATGAAAGCATTGCTCATACATTTTTGATTAGCAATGGTTCACTGAAAAAAAAAAGCAATTTCCAACGAACCTGAACTTTTAACTGGATGGATGTTGTCATTATGCTTAAGTGGCAATAATCAAAACTAAAATACAAAATGAATTTTTTGGAATTCCAGGGCTTTATAAACATCCTGACCTCCCTGCATTGGCCTGCAAATGGAGAAAAGTGCTTACAGATTTGCAAGCTCATAAGAACATAACAAAGGAATGGAAACATGAAGAAGAAAGCTAGCTTTTTTGTGATAAAGGGAACCCATCAGTGCTGAATTTGACAGAGTAATTTAAAAAGTAGAATTAAAAAAAGGCAAGAGTCTTAATTAAGAATAAAAAAAAAGTTATTGCTATAGTACAACATTGGCTACACTTGGAAAAAATATCTACCTCAGGCGTAATGATTTTACTTCAGAATTATTGAAATGTAGATTGTGGAATAATCCAGATTGTTAGTCTTCCTTCAGATATATGAGATGTCTGGAAGGGGATCACACATGCACTGTTTAGCAAAGGAGGACTCACCAAGAACCTGTCCAAAGACCTCTGGTGGTGTGCCCTGGACATCTGGCCAGGCCTGAAGAGGAGGAACTGCAATAGCTGAAGTTGCTGCTGAAAGCCACCATCGCAGCAGCAGCTCTTGGCTATTTCCTGAATGGTGAGCTGCTTGGCAATTGTCTGTGTGCCATCACTGGCATGTGCCATGATTTGTGTAGCTCTATCTTAAGATTTCCAATGCCTGTTCAGCTGTTAGATACAATTGTGTGATTATTTCTGTCATATTCTTCCATCTCTCTTTTTCTCCTATATGAAAAATGACCATTCCTAAATGAACCAGAAATGAAGCAAGTAATACATGCATTGCTAATCTCCTACTCCTTTTTCCTCCTCCTTTGGCATTTTTCACTGATCTGAAACTGTACAGTTTCTTCATCTGATGCAGATTCTTGATTAAAACAATCCTACTGAACATGCCTCCAGCCTTCCAGACATGAATTTGAAAACCAAAGCCTCGCAGGAATGTTTTCTCTTGAAATTTTCCATTTGAGTTTAGGACTGATTCTGTACTGCTTTGTACAGTCTCCCTGCACACCTCTTTGCCACTGATCCCAGTTTCTATTAAAACAGTCTCTTAGTCCCCATTACTTTCACTTTCTGCTGTTCTATTCTCTGTTTAATTCACCTCATTATTTTGATACAGTCCTTCTCCTTCCTCCCAAAACATGAGACTGCCTCCTCCTTCTTGTCTTGCTCATACTCCTACACACTGCCCTATGACTTTTTCTCCCTCCAACAGAGCCTCCTCCCTCTGAATCCTACACAAGTATCTCCTCAGGGGGAGCTATATTGGAAAGAAAAGGAGCTAATAAGAAAATGTGTGACAGATTAGAAGTTAATAAGTTGGAAGTTATAATAAAAAAGTTTCAGGTGAGCCCAAATTAATACAGCATCCAAAATATATAAAGCTATTTAAAAAGAAGGAAAACAAATACAGCATTAATTCTCAGAGACACCCCCCCCCCCCCGTTTTCTTTTCTTTTTGTGTAGTCACCAGTTGCTGTGCAGTCTCTGGGAAACAATGACTTAGCCAAAATCCTCAGGCTTTTCTGTTCTCTTCTCACTGTTTTTGCTTCAGCATTGTGATCCAGAGAAATACTAAAAGCCAGAGGGAGATTTTACAGCTTATGTGTTCACTACAAGAACACCTCTAATCTTTGTCATTGTAACTATACAAGAGGGCTGAAAGACTGAAGCAGCACCACATGTACCAACAGTGACTTGTTTTCTTAATAATAATAATGATATTAGTAGTATTTCAAGCTTTTGTTACTCATTCCTTCCTGTGATGCAGCACAGGACCATCACTGCATTTACTCCAGAGATCTTAATCCAGCCTCTGAGAGAACTGATTTGTTGGGGATTTCAAAACATCCTCTGAGATCATACAGAGTTCTATGCTGAAACCCTCACATAATCTCTCTCAAAATTCTAATATGGAGATATTTCTAGGTCATTTGCTTCTTTTGGTCTCTTTGCATTCAACTCCTGCTCTTTAAATAGCAAACCCAGGTTTGGCTGGGGGGTTTGAACTGTACGGGGGAAGTGCCTGTAGTGTGACGTGAGTGGATACAGCTGCTTCCACAAGGTCACAGAATCCTTTGGGTTCAGCACAGCAAGGCAGTCAAATGCATGCTCAGGGCCACCACCCGCCAGCACACTCTGCAGGTGTACAGGTATCTGATCTGATGAATATGACATTTAAACTGAGGTTTCAGTGAAGAAACGTGATTTCTAGGGTCTTTTGAATACTAATGTAATACACCTTTGTTTTGCCCAAACGCAGCATGGGGTTTAATACCAAAGCTGAAAACAGAGTAAACACATCTCACAGTGCTGCTGAATTCTGAGGAGGACTTGCACAACAACAATTTCATCTTTTAGTACAAATAAGGGAGTGGAAAAAAAAGCAAACAAAATAAGGGTGTATGACTCAAAAGGAAAAGTAAGGAGTGATCATTAAAAATAGTGCACAATGAGTTGTTTCACAAGTATATTCAGAATTTGCTGTGGTAAAAGTTCATGAGAGATTTTCTGGCATGGCTTGGATGGTGTAAGGAACTACACTGACATTTTGAAGATCTTTCTAAGCTAAAGGAACAAAAGAAATGAGCTAAAGCAGCTTCTTCAGCTCAGTACAAGCAAATTTCCTTAGAGAATGGAAATGCATTTTCTGAAGCCACCTAGCTGAAACTCATTAAGCATTCATTTATTAATTCAGTGCTTTTAAAAACACTGATAGCAGCAACCCACCAATGTGAACATGTGATGCAGACAAATAAGGAGATACACTGATAACACACATAAAAGTGAGTAAAATTCACCATATGCATTTAAAAAACACATTATAAAAAGTAAAATTCTACATTATAAGAATGCACTGAATGCATTATTTATTGAAAAATAATAAAGCAAAAGCCTTCATAGCTAATCAAAAGAAAACTTCCGCTTTAGGAAAGGCTAATCTTTATTTGGGGATTATATTGCTCTCTTGATGTATGATGCTCTCTGTAGAAACAGAGGACCTCTCATATTTAAGGTCAATAGTATTTATAAGCAGCTTTTTAATTTAGATTTTAATTTCTACTCAAGGATTTTTAAAGCAGCTCTTAATCATAGAATCACAGAATATTTAGGTTGAAAATGACCTTTAAGGAATCATCAAGTCCAACCATTAACCCAGCATTTCCAAGGCCACCACTAACCCATGTCCATGAGTGCCACATTTACAAGTCTTTCAAATACTTCCAGGAATGATGACTCCACCACTTGCTGGGCAGCCTGTCCCAGTGCTTGACAACCTTTTTGGTGGAGAATTTTTTCCTAATGTCCAATCTAAACCTCCCCTGGCACAAGTTAAGGCCTTTTCTTTTCATCTAATGCTCAAGATCAAGGACTATTTTGTCATAAGTTATAAAATTATATATTAGTTCTTTTCCTACATTTTGGTTAAAGACAGAGTATTTCATCGCTAAAATGTTAATTCAACTTAATTCAAAACTTTTTCTGACATTGCTGGATGTCATGAGCTCTCCCTCCCACCCCAA